ATTAATTACTTTTTTTTTTTTTAAGATTTTATTTATTTGACACAGGGAGAGAGAGATCACAAGTAGGCAGAGAGGCAGGCAGAGAAGGAGGAGGAAGCAGGCTCCCTGCCAAGCAGAGAGCCCGATGTGGGGCTCGATCCCAGGATCCCAGGATCATGACCCAAGCTGAAGGCAGAGACTTTAACCCATTGAGCCACCCGGGCGCCCCAAGAAAGAAAAATTAATTTAAAAGGAGATGAAAGAAAAAAAAAAGGAGAGGAACAAAACCAGAAGTCCATTTTTCAAAAAGATTCATAAAGTTGACAAAATGCTGGTGAAAAGGATAAAAAAACAGAAAGAAAGCATAAGAAACCAACATTATAGGAATAGAAATGAGTTAAGAATTCAAGCCACAGATTGGAAAAGGGTATTTCTCATGCAGTCAATATAAAGAATATATAAAGAATTCCTACACATAGTAAGAAAAAATGGTCAGAAGGAATTCCACAGAAGCACCAAAAATGTTGCACAAGCATTTGAAAAAGTGTTGGACCACGTTAGTGATCAGGGAAATGCATGTAAATAGCCCCAAGATTCACAGAATCAAGCTGTTAGACAATCCCAAGCATATTGAAGCAGTGGGTACTGTAACGTCTGCTGGATGGCGGGACCTCTGAAGACCACTGGGCATTGTTTAATGAAGTTAAAAGTATGCATGCCCAAGACCCAGGGATCCCATTTCTAGGTATGTAGTTCAGAGAAGTCTTGTATAAGAGTGTATTTATAGCAGCATGCTTAGGAATAGAATAATGTGTCAACACCTGGAGATGCTCTCGCAGATAAAATCAGTCCAAAGGGTAAATTAATTTTAGTATACCCACCTAGTGGAATACCACAGAGCAATGAGGACGGACTGCAGCTGCCGGGAACAGCATGAATCCCCCCACTAGAATCTTGAGTAAAAGACACGAGTCACTGGTAGGTTACATGAAGAATTATCGCATTGATCCAAAATTCAAACACAGAGGGGTATCTGGGTGGCACAGTTGGTTACGTGTCCCTCTCTGGGTTTCAGCTCAGGGTGTGAGCTCTGGTGGTGAGATGGAGGCCCTCGTTAGGCTCCATGCTTAGTGTGGAGTCTGCTTGAGACTCTCTCCCTCTGCCCCTGCCCCTATTCTCTCTCTCAAATAAATAAATAAATAAATAAATCTTTTATTTTTTTAAGAAGATTTTATTATTTATTTATTTGTCAAAGAGAGAGAGAGAGAAAGTGTGAGAGTGAGCACAAGCCAGGAGAGAAGCAGATGCCCCACTGAGCAGGGAGCCGGATGCGGAACTCGATCCCAGGACCTTGGGGTCATGACCTGAGCTGAAAGCAGATGCTCAACTGACTCAGCCACCCAGGTGCCCCAAACAAACAAATCTTTAAAAAAAATAATAATAAAATTCAAACACGGTTATAAACCCCAGATTATTTAGGGTGTGGTGGTCAGTTTTTTGTGTCAGCTTGACTAAGTAATAGTCCCCAGTTAATCAAACACGAATCTACCTGGTGCTGTAAAGGTATGTTGTAGGTGCGATGACAGTCCACCATTAGCTGACTTCAAATAAGGGAGGTTATTCTAGATAACCTGTGTAGACCTGACAGAATCAGTGGAAAGGACTTTAGAATGAACCAAGGTGTTCCTGAATAAGAAATTTCTCACTGTGGCCTGCAGCTTCTTCTCCTGCCCCAGAGAGACCTGCCCTTCCTGATGCCCTAGAGATTTCAGATTTGCCTAGCCAGCTCCCCAAACGCATAAGCCAATTGATTGATCTTAATGTATATCTTCTCTATATACATTATATACTTAATGTATATCTCTCTCTCTCTCTGCCTGAACAATAGAGACAAATACAGACTTTATTTACTGCAAGTGGTTCTAGAGGAACAGAATCTCCGGACTTTTATGAATAGAGGTTCTGTGTTTTCTGGAATTGGTTCTCTAGACTGATTAGATTTAAAGGCACTAATGACTCTATTTCGAGTGATAAAGAGGGCACTGGTAGTCCATGGGGTGACATGGCATTAGAGATACCCCAGAAGGTTTTGGGTGACCATGTATGTGATGTCTTTGCTGAGCTTCCAATTCTCAGCTCAAAGTCCTCAAAAAATGACCTTTGTGTCCCCCAAAAGAGACCCTTCTCTCCTGTTACTTGCAGGGCTGAAATGGCCGAAAACCAAACCCATAATCTCATCCTGTGAGCTGCTCAGTTACAATGCACTTTGAATCCCAGCCTGGAAGGAAAGTTAAAGTGAGGGTATGGGAGCTGGCAGAGGGGCAAGCCCCTTACTCCAGGGGTTCCCAACAGAGCAGTTCAGTCACTGAGAGGCAAGTGGTGGTGAGACAGGAAAGGAATTTATTTCAGGAAGGCCAATATGGGAAGACAGTGGACTCTGCAGGTGGGTGGTAAAGGTCAGGTCTATCATTGTCTTGGGGTCACTCACGTGGGGCTTGCTGGCTCAGGGCCATCCTTATTGTTCGGTAGGTTTGGTCCTCCCTCCCCTCCTCCCTGGGGTGCTTTGCTGGCAGGGTCTTTTGCCCGAGTTAAGAGATAAGCTGGAAAGAAGGATAAATGAAGATGTGGTCCATATATACAATGGAATATTTTTCAGCCATTAGAAACGAAGAATGCCTACTGTTTGCATCAACATGGGTGGAATTGGAGGGGATGGATTATGCTGAGTGAAGTAAGTCAAGCGGAGAAAGACAATTATCATACGGTTTTACTCATATGTGGAACATAAGAAATAGCACAGAGGATCATACGGGAAGGGAAGGAAATCCAAAAGGGGAGATATCAGAGAGGGAGGTGAGCCATGAGAGACTGCGGACCCCGAGAAACAATCTGGGCATTTCAGCAGGGAGGGGGTGGGGAGATGGGGTAACAGGGTGATGGGTATTAAGGAAGGCACGTGTTGTGACGAGCACTGGGTGTTATATGCAACTAATGAATCGTTGAACACTGCATCAAAAACTAATTATGTACTATATGGTGGCTAACTGAACATAATAAAAAAAAAGAAGAAGAAGAATTTAATCAGTGATGAAGTCCAAGCTAAGGTCAAAACAGAGGAAATTGAAGTTCTCTTTCGGGCATTGCCTGGGGCGAAATGGAATCCTTGCTTGCATCCCAGCACCAAGCTTGGCCTCCACTTCTCTCTAAAAGTCGGGATACTCGTTCACTGGCTCTGGAGAAAAGGATCTGTACAATCAGTCCAAAAGCTGGAGCAGAGACTGCAAAAGTGATCTTTCAAACTCCTTGAGGTGTTAGTAAGGATCAGGAGGCTCCTTGTCAGCCTCTACTAGAGTCCTTTTCTGGTGCTTCCCTCTCTGTCCTCTCCTCTGTGAAGACATATTCCACCTGAGAACAATGGCTGTTGAAGGTCAGGCTTTAAAATATCGAAGTTGGGGGTGAGGGGGCGCCTGGGATCGAGCCCCGCATCGGGCTCTCTGCTCATAGGGGAGCCTGCTTCCTCCTCTCTCTCTGCCTGCCTCTCTGCCTACTTGTGATCTCTTGTCAAATAAATAAATAAAATCTTTAAAATAAAATACAATATCGAATTCGGAAAAACAGTCACCACATGTATCCTTGGAGGAGAATCAAACTTGTGTTTCTGTGTACCTGAGATGATACAAGGGTGATGATGTCTGAGAAGGAGGTCCATCACGCCACGAGCTGAGAGTCCTCCTGACTTTTGAGTCGGGAGAGTAAAAATCCCCACAAGGAGGAAGTGTGTTCACGTGCTCAGGCTGCTGTCCCAGATTTCCACAGACTGGGTGGCTTAAGAAACAACAGAAATGTATTCCTCACGTTTCTGGAGGCTGCAAGTCCAAGGTCAAGGCGCCGGCATGATGAGAGCCCTCTTCTGGCACAGAGCCACCCTCCCACTGTGTCCTCACAGGATGGAGGGGAGGAGGGAGTTCTGTGGGGTCTTTTTTATAAGAACCCTAATCCCCATTCACGAGGGCTCCACCCTGAAGGCCTCACCTGTCTCACACCATCACATCAATCATTAGGATTTCAACACCTTAGTGGGGTGGGGCGCACACAGCCAGACCATAGCTGTAAGTTCTCATGACCTTCCAAAGGTAACTTTCAGGGTGTGTGAAGGTTGGAGGGAGTGACTGGAGACTCCAGTCTCAAATGTCAAATGTCATTGGGGTCCAATGTTGTTTATTTTTGCAGGGAAATGGATGGAATGCATTGAGGTTGCAAAGTTCTCAGAAGTGCAAGAGACAGGCTGCCATGGTTGCCTGTAGACAGGAGCTGGTGAACAGGATGGGGCAGTGAGACCCGTATTTGGAGGCCACCCTAAATCCGATCTGCAGATGTCATACTTAGACACTTAGCAAATACGGTCGGCAAGTAACCAGGTCACTCAACAGAGGCCTTAGTTTCCCTCTATGTAAAATGGAGACAGTAAAGAATGCCTGGGTGGCTCAGTTGGTTAAGTGTCTGCCTTCAGTTCAAGTCATGATCCCAGGGTCCTGGGATTGAGTCCTGCATCAGGCTCCCCACTCAGCAGGGAGTCTGCTTCTCCCTCTCCTACTTTCCCCCCAGCTCACGTTCTCTCTCTCTCTCTCTCTCTGAATAAAATAAATAAAAATAAAATACAAAACACAAAATAAATAAAATCATTAAAAAAGTGGCTACAGTAAGACCCACGGCCCCAGACTGTAGAAAGGATGACGTGAGACACGCACGTGAGGTTCCTGGTACTTAGTGAGCATTTGTAAACATCAGCTCTTATTGTGTGTAGGCCCATTTTGAATTTGTTCGGACAACTGAACACAGCCTAATTCACCTTGTAACAACTAACACAGGCTATCCTCAGCAGGTGCGGGTCCGTGGAACCAGAATAGTGTCTGTAGCAGACGGAGAAGCCATTCCAGACATCCGCAGGCTATCCTCAGCAGGTGCGGGTCTGTGGAACCAGAATAGCGTCTGTAGCGGACGGAGAAGCCATTCCAGACATCCGCAGGGTCTTGACAGCAGTCTGATCTGAAGATGGCCCTCCGCGTGCTGTGCGCCAGCCTCAGCCTTCTCCGCCTGGTGTGGTGTCTCCTGCCGCAGACAGGCTATGTGCACCCAGATGAGTTCTTCCAGTCACCCGAGGTCATGGCAGGTAAGTTCCCTGCATGAGGTTAAGATATGCAGCAGCAAAGTCTGGATGGTTGCTGTCTGGATACTCAGGGGGAGGGAGAATCTATGTCTTTGGGGTTGAGCAGTAAATCCATGAGCCTGTCTGGAATAAGAACTTGCAAGTGGGGATTTCACATCTCCTTCCTGACCAGCGACGTTGACCTTCTGGACAGTACTAATGAAATGCCAGCCTCTTTGATGTTTTCCTGCTTGGACCAACAGTACCGATTATTCAGAATGAAAGTTGTTTTGGACTCCTCAGTGGAGAGATTTTAGAGTGGGGCTTCCCGGGTGCTTAGGGAAACTTACACAGGGCTATGGTCTGAGATACTGAAACTTTTTTCTGGGTTCTTCTGAGGGGTGAGGGAATCCAGGCCTGGAATGCTCACTTGTTAGAATTTATCTGCAGAGGGGTGTGGAATATATCAAGAGGATGGCTGACAGGGACTATGAGGCTTTTCAGATGCTGTGGGCACATGGGTTCCTCCTCCACATGGTTCATAGTTTTGAACCTCCACATGGTTCAAAATGGCTGCTTGAGCTCCAGCCATCAAGTCTAAAATCAAGTCTTTCCAGCCACTGGAGAGGAGATGGGCATGCCTGCTCTAAGGGCATATATTTTTTAAGATTTATTTTTTTAAGTATTCTCTACACCCAACGTAGGGCTCAAACTTACAGCCCCAAGATCAAGAGTCACATGCTCCTCCGACTGAGTGAGCCAGACACCCCTTTAAGGGCATATTTTGAATGTCACATACTTTTTGCTCATTTCCATCCCATTGGTCAGAATGTATTACGTGAACACACCTGGCTGTGAAGGAAGCTGAAAAATAGTCTTTATATCTGACCAAATGCCCAAGTGAAGAGACTAAGGAAGGAAGAAAGCAATGGATACTGGGGAAACATGCAGCTGGCCCTGCCATAGGGCTCACAGCTGGATTTGTTTCTTCAGGTGAAAGGTCCAGTCTTTGCCAGTTTTTTTAACCTGAGCCAGTAAAAAAACAAAAACGAAAAAACCCAGCCAGATTGATCTGACCTTGATTTTGTTTCCTTTTCACCTTCTTCTTCTTTTGGGGGGTGGGGGTGGGGGTGATATTTATTTTAGAGGTGGGGGAGGGGCGCAGAGAGAGAGAATTTCAGGCAGACTCCCTGCTGAGCATGGAGCCTCAAGCAGGGCTGGCTCTCAGGACCCTGAGATCATGACTTGATCCAAAATCCAGAGTCGGATGCTTAACCTACTGAGCCACCCAGGCGCCCTTCCCTTTGGGTTATCGCCTACCTAACCGTCCCGGTCTGCGGCAACATAAAGCAATCACCGGCGTAAAACCCGCGGTCCCCAGAGTCCGGGGAGTGTGCGCCGCTCGCTGACGACGGGGTGGGAACATCTTGGGGCTGCAACCCCTGTCCCTGAGCTTGGACCTGGCTCAGCTCCGCTTCTCTGTCCGCAGAGGACATCCTGGGCGTGGAGGCTGCGCGGCCTTGGGAATTCGACCCCAGCCGCTCCTGCCGCACGGTGCTCTTCCCGCTGCTGACCTCCGGCTCCGCCTTCTGGCTGCTCAGGCTCTGGGAGCAGTGGGGGCCGGGGCGGGGCCCGGTGAGTGGCTACGTGCTGCTGGTGGGGCCCCGACTCCTCCTCACCGCCCTCTCCTTTGCCCTGGACGTGGCCGTGTACCACCTGGCCCCGCTGTGGGGGGCGGAGCGCTGGAACGCCCTGGTCCTGCTGTCCGGCTCCTACGTCACCCTGGTCTTCTACACGAGGACCTTCTCCAACGCCATCGAGGGACTGCTCTTTGCAGGGCTGCTGGTGGTGGTGTCCCCCCGGTTGGCTTGGAGCCCCACCCCCAGGAAGCCTGCCCCGGGCCCGTGGGGGCACAGCTGGCTGCTGGGGGGCATCGTGGCTGCTGGCTTCTTCAACCGGCCCACGTTTCTGGCCTTTGCTCTGGTCCCGCTCTTCCTCTGGAGCAGCCGCGGGGCAGCGCACCCCGGCTTCAAGTCGCTAGCGAAGGAAACGCTGGCGCTGCTCCCCGGAGCGAGCCTCGTGGCGGCGGTGTTCGTGGCTGTGGACAGCTGGTATTTCTCCAGTCCCTCTAGATCCAGCACCCTCGTTCTTACGCCTGCCAACTTCTTGTACTACAACCTGGATCCTCAGAACCTGGCGAGGCATGGCACACATTTGCGGCTCACTCACCTGGCCGTCAACGGTTTCCTGCTCTTTGGGATGCTGCATGCCCAGGCCCTGCAGGCGGCGTGGCTACAGCTGCAAGCCTGCCGCCGGGCCTTTGCACAGATGGGCTTCCTGAGGGCTCTGGGGCACGGGAGCCTGCTCTCTGGCCCCAGGTCTTGCCTCCTGCTCCTCTACTTCACGCCTCTGGCCCTGCTTTCTGCCTTTAGCCACCAGGAGGCTCGGTTCCTGATCCCCCTCCTAGTCCCCCTGGTCCTGCTTTGTAGTCCACAGACCCAGCCTGTGCCCTGCAAGGGCCCCCTCGTCCTCTTCAATGTCCTGGGCGCCCTCTTCTTTGGCTGCTTGCACCAGGGGGGCCTAGTGCCCGGCCTGGGGCACCTGGAGCAGGTGGTTCATGCCCCGGCGCCCCCCAGCCTACCCACCCACTACACACTCCTCTTCACCCACACCTACATGCCCCCCAGGCACCTTCTCCACCTCCCAGGCCTGGGCTCGCCCGTGGAGGTGGTGGACCTGGCTGGGACTGAGGACTGGGTCCTGTGCCGAGCTCTGAACAACTTCACCAGGCAACCAGCCTGCCAGGTGGCTGGTGGGCCGTGGCTCTGCCGCCTCTTTGTGGTAACCCCAGGCACCGCCAGGCCTGCCATGGAGAAGTGCCACTTCCCTCTCAAGAGTGAGACGCTCCTGTTTCCCCACTTGACCCTGGAAGACCCACCAGCCCTGTCTTCTCTGCTGAGTGGGGCTTGGAGGAACCATCTCAGCCTTCACATCTTGGAACTGGGGGAGAAGCCTGGCAATGTGACCAAAAAGCCACCGCCCATGAGTCGGCCATAGGTGAGGGCACCACTGCACCTTCTGTGTGGGTAGCTGGGCTGGAACAGAGCCCTGATGCTCTTCCATTCCTTTCCCTTCCGGAAGTCCTACTCCTGCCTCTCCTGTGCATAGGCTTTGGCTGCTCTTCCTTCTGGGTAAGCTGGTACCCTTCTCCCCTTAAAGACCAAAGATCTGACCAGTCACAATCCTGACACCAAGTTCCCCAAAGAACCTGGTGTAACCGATGTCTGGTGAACAGCCTCACCAGGTCTGTTCCTGCCCTGTTCCTTCAAGCCACTGTGATATTTTGATATGTAATAGCACCTGGTTATGAAAAGAGAGAGATCGGCGTGCAGATGGCATTCCTCTCTCAAACCTTCCAGGATGCCTTATGTCTTCCTGTCGGAATAACCCTCTGGCTTCCTAGATCACCAGGAAGGAGGCAGTGGTGATGTAGAGAGCAGGCAATTCAGATTCCAGAGACCCGAGTTCTAGTCCCTGGTCTACTTACCACTGTCTGGCTGTGTGATCTTAAGAAAGCCCCTTCCCCTCACCTAGCCTCAGTTGCCAATCTGTACAGTGGATAAAAGTGTCTCTGAGGTGTCTGCCAGCTAACGCTGTGTCATGCCTTGGTCTGCAGTGCATGTCCCCCATCTAAACAAGCATATCTGTCCCAAAGCTCTTTAAGCAGCCCTGGTGTGGCGGTGTATTTAATGGCACCTGCTGTCTCTGCGTGGGGTTACCAAAACAAGTAGTTCTAGAATTGCTCTCTTCACTCTCTTCTACTCCTGTCCCTGAGGGAGAGGGTAGGACCTTTCTGCATCTCACCTTTTAAGGATCATTCTCCTGGATTAGGGAGCTCAGATGTTCCCTGTCCTCAGCCTGCCCGAGTGGGAATGGAGAATTAGTAGCTGTCTCCACTTGGGAGCTCTCTGGTGCTCCCAGAGACTTCTTAAATGCAGTCTGGTTGCTCACTAAGCTCAAAGCCCCCATCAGAAACCACTTCACAGGATAGAGAGCAAACCCCATGCCATGTGGGTGATGAAAGCTATCATCACAGCTCCAGGCACGGGCGCCCCCTCTAAGGGCACCCCTACCAATCCACTGGGAACGTGAGGAGCTGTGGCACTCACCCTGTCCTCATTCTCCCTCCTCAAATCTCTACCACCTCCTGAAAATAAGAGGCACCCAGGCCACAGAAATCATTGAGCTGTAAATCAATACAGAGCTGGAGACCAAACCAACACTAATGACCAAGCCCGAGCATTCTTCTAGTCCTGCCTTCTGCTGGCTAAGGTTTGGGGCAGCCCAAAGCAGCAGCCCTCCCAGTCACGCTGTTCCATGGCTGCTGCTTGTTCTTGGTGCCACACGCTCCTCCTGACTCCAACCCCAAGGACAGGCAGGGTCACTGATATGCTGGTAAATGTTTAGCAACCATTCTCTGGGGGCACAAAAGCCCCCATGTGGAGCATCTGCCGATTTCCGTGGCATAAATACTCCCACCTTGACTGATTTCAAACTACCACAATGATGCTACTGAACTCCAAGTTGAGAGGAGATGCCAGTAGACATTGGCTCCAGCAAACTACTGGGCTTTTCCCTCTTTTAAATTCTGTAGTAATTGCTCTTGTGGTTTATGTTTCTATGAACCTCTCATTTGTCTTCCTATCCCTAGTGCTTAGTGTCATCTCTGGCACACAGGAAACACTTCCTCTTTTCTTTGCAGCCAAAGATGGCTTTTCTGCCCAAGTGCCATCTTGGAGACACCTGACTCCAGGGTCCCAAACTCCTCCCCCAGTTGGATCCACAATCTCAGAATTTCCTGGAGGAATTCCAGGGAATTGGTTGTAACAGTCTGGGTAGATTTTTGATGGTCTGACTTCTAATAAATTTGTCCATAAAGCGTTTGTATCTAAGTCTATGCAGCATCAAGGGAGGAATCAGAATTGCCCTGCAAGATAGCAGGATGAGTTGCTTCCCTGCTTCACTCTCTAGCAGAATTTAGAAAAGCTTGAAAAGCATGCTGGGAGATTGCCACCGGGGGTGGTGGGAAGAATCTGATGTTTCTTTAGTAATAGGGTCACGGGTGGGATGGCAAGCCGGTGACTACAATCACTGGAGTCTCCTCCAGTGAAGCAGAAGGCATCCGAAATCACCTGCAGCTGGACCAGAAAGGACCCAGTTTTCTCTCTCTGCTCCGACTCCCTCTACAAAAACAGAACTTAGTTCTTACCCACTTCCATAAGAAATAAACACAGCCCCTTTCTCTTGCTTTCTCTCTTTTCTTACCAAAATGACCAGTTTGTCTAGCAGCTTCATTGCTTCCTGCCCTGCTTCCCTTTTTGTCCCTGCCAGTCTGGCAAAAGACCTCCCAGTGAATGTGCTTGCCTGTGCTGAGGGTAGGGAGTTGGGCTGGGGACAGCTAATACTCTGCTGCTGAGATCCAGAGACAAATGAATGGGATTGAGACCAGCGTGGCAGGAAGGCCAGAGAAGAAACAAGCTCCCCAGGCTCCTCACTGCCAGCCTCAAAGGAGGATCCAGAGTTGCCTCTGATCTGGGATGAGGATTTGTTCTTTAATAGGATTGGGGGGTGCGGAGAGGATGCCAAACCAGGACTTTGGTCATTAGGAGAGTGGGACTCCAGGCCTCAGGATTAAACAGCAGCACCTCCAATGGGATGACCAGGATATCAAGTCAGAAGTATGAACATTTAGAATGTTACTTTAGCTTCTCCATTCCCACAGCAGGTCTCTCCACCCTTATCCAGCTCTTTCTCTGTACCTATCAGAAAGGCCAGGATATAAATTCTGGTTGGTCACCAACCTAGAAGCATCTCCTGTGGCTTCAAGCTTTCTAGATTGCATGATTAACTAAAGGGCAATCAGAAATTCGGTCAGAGGCCTCAAATGACCAGGCATTTCTGTATACCACGGATTTTCCACTCATGGTTCCAACAGCTGTCTTGATTGTATCCCAGACCCTCTAAAACTGGTGACAGGCATCCAAGTAACTTGTTCCATAATAGGCAGTTCTGACGCCCAGTGGTGATAATGGAGGTCGGGGAGGTGAAGGCAGGCACTGAAGGTCACAAATAAAAGGGTCAGAGACTTGCGGTTAAGGACTTAGGCCCTAGAATCAAACATCCCAACTCTGTAAGGATGCAGCCCACTTCCTCCTATGAAAGTGGCTGTAAGAAGTGAGATTACCCACACGGACTGCAATTACCAAGTGCCAGCACAGAACAAACACTCAAAATGTGTGAACTAGTATTACCATGGGCCTATAGTCCCCATGACCCCTAACCATCTCGCAGGTTAAGTACCACACTCACACCCATCACTCTGCTCACACATTTAATCAGAGGATTTTGGCAGCTGTGTCTTTCCATCCGTGCTCTCCCCTGGAAGTGGCGCGCTGCTCTATCAGAGCAGAAGCAGCATCACTGAACACGAGTTTGAGTCCCACTCGCAGAGGGCACACGCCTCCGGCTGTGGTTCGGTTCACGGCTCTCCGTAAGTGGTGCACCAGGCTCCGGGCTTGGGGCGGGGGCTGGGTGTCATTTCTTCACGCCGTGCCCAGTCCGATCAGAGGGCTTCACCGGGGATGTCGGTTTGGCCTGGGCTTTCTGATGAACGAGGCCTCTGAAGGCGAACAGTCTGATTCCGGATTCAAAGCCGTACACTGCGCCCAGGATGACTGCTGAGCGCCGAGGCCTGTGTCGAGCCCAGAAGTGAAAGCCGGCGACCCTGGCCCGGCCCAGCCTGGGTTTAGGGGTTAGCGCCCGGGCCCCTCTGGTTACCTGGCGGTGACCCCGGGCGTTCCCGGAGGCCGCGGCGCAGCTCCTCAGCGAAGGTGTCCCTGAAGCGGGCAGCGCGGCGACCTAGGGAGCCCGCGGGCCCAGCCGCGAGGGCTCGAAGACGCCGGGCTGCGTCCTGGCCGCGCAGCTGGGCCTGCATCAGCGCGAAGGCCGTGAGCTGCGCCGCACGCCGGATGGGCTTAGACTCGGACAGACGCTCCACCAGCTGCGGGCTGTGCAGCAGGGCGGCCAAGAGCCGCCGAAGCACCATCCTCAGAGCGACCCGGAACCCGAAGCACGCCGCTCTCGCTTCCGACGGGCGACAAATAAAGACGGACCCCGTCTGCGCCCGCGCCGCCCGCTGATGACACTGGGGCGCGGGGATTGGTTGACAGGATGCTTACGTTTGCATCCGCTTCCCGCGTTTCCGCTTCCGCCACCGCCGCGGCAGTCTCGTTGTGAGTGGAGTGGCGGTGTTTTCGTCCACCTGTCTGCACTATGTCCGGCGGCCTTTTGAAGGCGCTGCGCAGCGACTCCTACGTGGAGCTGAGCCAGTACCGGGACCAGCACTTCCGGGTGAGGGAGGCCGGGCCGCGAGAAGGGAAGGCCCAGGGCCAGAACGCTGAGAATCGGCTTGCTCTTTTCTCATTGTGTCGTTTTCCGTTCTTTGGTTTCCCGAAACGCGAAGTGAGGCCCCGGTGCCTGCTGGGGAACGGAGCTGTAAGGGCGTTTGGATACCACTGAATCCCCTTATCTCATAGAGCACTTGAGGCTCGCTGCCCCATTCCCTTGCAGTTTCTGCCTTTCCCAGGCCAGTGCAGAGGGATTCCCGTGGCGGTAGTAACGGCGGCTTGCATTTGCACAGCCTTTGCCTCGGGAAGGTGACTTTGTGATATGGGGGCAGGGGTGTCCTTTGACAACTGGAGTACGGGGAAAGGGGGGCGTTTTCCTGAACCACATCCTCTTTATAACTTTTTAGTTTTAACTTAGCCCTGTGGCGCGTGGAACCCTTCCCTTCCTTGGTTTCGTAGAACGGTCGTACCAAGTTCTGCGCGGTCGCTGGGAGACACAAAGTTGAGCCTTGTCTCCAACCATAGAAAATCCTCACAGTGGGCAGGGAGACTGTCCAAACTAGGCACTTTAAGAGTCTAGGTGTCAAGCTTAGAGAACTCGGTTTCAGAAGAGAGGTTTTAGTTTGGTCTATGTCATTGTGTATTTTATGGGAAAAGGGAAGGCGGCAGATATTTGAGGTGGGCTGCTCAGTCTCAACAAAGGAGGGGACGAGGTGGTGCGACACTGGTCAACCACTGATTATTAGGTAACTTTTATTGAGGGCTGTTGCTTAAACCTATTAAGTCCTAGAGGGAGAGGGAAGACAGTGTCCGCACCCTAAGAGTTTATAATTTTCCAGTAGGGATTGTAAAGGCCGGCAAGTAATCATAATCTAGAGCAGAAATGGTGAGGGGAAAGGGAATCTTGTGAGGATTCAGAAAAGGGAGGCGGCGGGTGAAAGGAAAGGAGGGACACGTTTAGAAGAGGGTGGGCGTGGAGGGTACAGCGTTGTTAGCGGGGTGGGGAAAAGGAAATTCTGTTTGAGGCCAAAGTGAGGAAGGCCTGAAATTCATTCACTAAGGCAGCCGTTTTTAAATGCTGCCAAGCAAGGTTTTCACTTCTCTCTCTTACAGTTCTGAAGTTCCACATTACCATCTTGAATTTCAGGCATCCTATGAGAGTAAAAATGTGAAAGGTTTCAACTTGTTCTGTTACTCATGTTTAGTCTAAGGCTTGTAGCTTTATTTAGATAGTAGTAAGATACTGTCATGAGGAACTTCTAGAGTTCTGGAATCCAGCTTAATATACCTTAAGAAAGGACTTACATCACAGTTGTCTTAAACTATAGGCTGTTTGTTTAGATTACTTACATGTGTGAGAGGAGTGGAAAGAAAAAAAGGAAGGCCTCCTGGGTAATTTCAATAAATCTTTTAACAGCAGTGATATAAATAAGGTGAATCTACTTTATGTAATGCCTCATTCCAAAATTCTGAAAACTTGTTTTTAATGTAGAATGACTTTACCCAGTGGACTTTTTAAGAAAGTATGAGATTGGGCATAAGACTGGGTTTGGGGGTGGTGGCGGAGACTGGGTTTGGATTCCACCTGCAACTACTGAGTAGCTGTTTGACCTTGAACAAGTTACTTAACTGTCAAGTGTAAAGGCTAATAAATTAGGACCTACTTCATTCACTTCTGAGAATTAAATGCAACTTCTTACATGGAAATCTCTGACCTGTGACCCCTTGATTCGCCCTAGAGGAACATGTACCTATTTCTGTGTATGAGACCTTTTATATTCGTACTTTTAAGAAATGTGTATTTTGGAGCATACCCTTCATGTTGTTCTCACTGTGGTCATCACTATCTCAGAGATGTTACTTATAACTGCATGTGCATATACATTTTTCTTGGGGCTGCATAGTTTTATATTTATTGATGTACCATAATTTATCGTTTTCCTTTTGATGTGATTTCCTTTAGAACGGTTTCTTTATCCCTCCATTCTGCCACTGAATGTGATCACGTGAGACCTGTTAGGCTGAGCTCTATGCTACAAAGCTTTCAGAGACAAGTAATACAAAGTCTTGTTCTCGGAGTGAAGGAAACTGGATCAGAATTACATATCGAGTAGTAAATGAACAAGGGAGGTCTCTTGAAAATGCTCTAGGGGCCTGAGTGTAGATCTGTTCAGCTACTTTCCAAACTGGAATACTACTGTACAGTTGGTGTTAGAGTCTTAACCTGAGAGTCTGAGAGCAGGTCAGTGGATAGGCCTTTTTAGTTATTAGCATTTGTCCTCCCCAATGTGGAGGTCAGAAGAGAAGGTGAGAGGACACGACCATTTGGTTTCTCTGCAGGCACGTAAAATACCGTATCTAGCCCATGAGGAGTCCCAGGGATTGTCAGGTGGGTTGACCAAAGTGCAGTTATATTCTTGTCTCTGGCTTCATCCTGTCTTCCAAATTAGGAAGCCTGTCAAGAACCTAAGTTCTCGGGTGCCTGGATGGCTCAGTCGGTTAAGTGTCTGCCTTCAGCTCAGGTCGTGATTCCAGGGACCCTGCGATTGAGCCCCACATCAGGCTCCCTGCTCGGCAGGAAGCCTGCTTCTGCCTCTCCCACTCCCCCTGCTTCTGTTCCCTCTCTGGCTGTGTCTGTGTCAAATAGATAAAATCTTAAAAAAAAAAAAAAAAAAAGGCAAGCTCTTGTTTTTAGTGATCACTACCTTTTCTCCTAAACTCAGAAAAATATCTGAGCATGTAAACCATCTAAGCAGTTGTTTTAAACATTTTCTATGGGAATATTATAGGGGATACCCTATCTCTGAAAATCCATTTATTTTCACTACAAAAAAAGCCTTTCTAGTATATTGGTTCAAGGTCCGGAAGTTAAATTCAAGCAATGGGAGGTGCCAGTGCTGAGGATGTGGAGCTTGCAGAGAAGGGAGGCCATTTGCATGGCAGTCCAGCCCAGGAGGAAGGCCACATGCTTGACTCTTCAGTGGTGACTGTGTCCCGAAAGCAGGCTGGACCTGCAGAAGGGCGTCTTAGAATGTGAATGCCTGTCTCTGTCTCTCTCTTTGGCAAGGGATTTGTGGTAGACTGGGATGATGACAGAAGCTGATTCCCAAATTAGAATTAATGAGAGTTTTTGGCCATACTTGGGCATACTATTTAAGCAGGACTCTTCTTGGATTGTGTTGCTTAACTTTTTCGCTCTTTGACATTCCAGGGTGACAATGAAGAACAGGAAAAATTACTGAAGAAGAGCTGTACGTTGTATGTTGGAAATCTTTCCTTTTACACAACTGAAGAACAGATCTATGAACTCTTCAGCAAAAGTGGTGACATAAAGAAAATCATTATGGGCCTGGATAAGATGAAGAAAACAGCATGTGGGTTCTGCTTTGTGGAGTATCCTTCCTGTGTGTCTGGCGTAGCTATTGGGTGAGGGTGGGGCCAAGAGTGGCTAGTTAAAAAAACAAAAAAAGAATGAGGCCATCCACTAATTAGCATCCCTGTACTTTACCTCTACCTCTCCTTCCTTCATCTACCTCTTACCTTCTGCCCAATGTGTCTACACTCCTGCGTTGTGAAAGCTTCTGACTTTTATATTCTATTCTAAATATTTATATTCTGTTGATTTTTTAAGAAATAATCTTTTGGAAATAGATGCTCATGGTGTTTACAGAAGTACAAAGGGTATAGTGAAAATAAAATCTCTGTACTGTTCTAAACCCAGAGAGTTACTGGTCTCTTGGGTGGCTTTCCAGCAGTGATCCTGTGGATGTGTGGAGCCTACTGCATGCACTGTTTTTTCCCCCACCTTAGAGATTATGTTCATGCACATAGGTCTACCTCTTTCTTAAGTGGCTGTGTAGTATTTTGTTATGTAGATGTATATAGTTTGATTTTATATAAAGTCAAAACCAAACTGTTGTCTCCTTGGAAATTCAAATATTGGACCTCCTGGATTTTTTGGGGGTTTTTTTCTCCTAACATTTTCTTTTTTGGTCATTTTGTTTTATAATTCTGAGAAGTTTCCCAGACCTCGTCTAACATACTTTTAAAAAGTTTGTGCCCCAAATTACCAGGGTATTTTTTTCTTCCTGGGTGGGGGGGCGGTTGTGTTTATGCTGTAAATTTTCCTTAAATGTTTGGTGATCCCTGGGTTTCCAAGCATAATTACAGGAAAGAAGGCTAACTTTGTGGGTCCAGGCAGAGCTCTCTGAAGTTGTTGCCTCACCTTTGTTATATGTGGGTTTCCCAAATGCCAGAATGAAAAGAGATTCTTTTTTGACTTAATAACATCAAAGACACTGCCCTATAGGATTCCTCGTTTGTTCAGAACTCTGTTATTCTACTTTTATTTGCCTGGGTTTAAATGCCTTCCTGCTAGCAGGTCATCTTCCCACACACAGACCTTTAATTAAACCCTGTTTGCTGTCTCCTTCTTTAAGCCCCTTCAAGAATATTTCAAACTGTGACTTTGTTTCATCCATTAGCACTCTTCCTTCATCTTTCTTGAACCTCTAGTTTGTTGATAACCTCTTCTATTCTTTGGGTGTATGTATCTTTTCTGTCATTTTAATGGGGTCTTGAAAAGGAAATGAGGAATGTGCTCACTCCATCAGCTTGAACTAGAAGCCCTACTTTCAGACCTATTCCAAAATTTTTATTTTGGTGTCTGATTTCTGCAAGCTACTTCCATTCTCCCTTCAGACACAAGGGTCAAGAGTGCCCAGATTTTACATTTGCCTCAGGTGGCAATAGCATCAAAGTTCACAGGGTACAGGGAGAACAATGAGAACACAAAAAGCAAAGAAAATCCACCTTGTGGGTAATATTCAGCCCCTGAGTACTGGAATGCTTTTGCATTTGTCTTGTGTGTCAGAGATCCACAATCAACAGCAGATGATTACCAAGAGAAGCTGCCATTGCTAGTGTTTTTCCTCACTTTGCCCTTTTATCATGTCATTCATTCAGCAAAAAGTTACTGAATGCCCATTATGTGCTAGGCATCATGTAGGTGTTGGACACTGGGATTTTAGCAAGTGCTTCCCTGAGCCCAGCTAATGAGCGTAATTGCTTATGGACTTTTAAAAAAATATCACCCCAGAGATAGATTGAGCGGATCTGATTAAATAGGTTTGGGAGCAACTAACCTGAGTGATAGGATACTGAGTCTTTCTTTCTAAGGAAATGCAATGGCAGTTCCATGTGCACTGTAACCTCTTTTTATTAAGGTTGTATTTGCATTTGGAATTTACAGTTCCAAATTTGGATGCTTTTGTTTCCTTGGATAAGTGTGCAGTGTGTGCTCTAAACCTGCACTGAACATATTTATACTTTACAAACCAAAATATGGGGACAATGGGACCAAATAATCATCAGCACGATTTTCCAGGAAATCACGATCAGTAGCCTTGGATAAATTGTAGTGGACTCTGCAAGTGCTCCTGCACCAACCTCAAACAGGGATGTGCAAACCAAGTTACTGTCTCTGAAATCCATCTGGTTAGATTTGTTTTTGTATTCCTTCTTAACAACTCAGTTTCATTTAGATGTGGTTTCCTGTATTTCCAAAAATGTTTGGAGAAATGCTATACAGTGTTCCTTAATACTTACAACTTAAGATACTATTCAAGAGCAGATGCGGAAAATGCCATGAGGTACATAAATGGAACTCGTCTGGATGACCGGATCATTCGCACAGACTGGGACGCAGGCTTTAAAGAGGGCAGGCAGTATGGCCGTGGGCGATCTGGGGGCCAGGTACGCAGGAAGGTTCTCTTGGCTCAGTCTTTGCCTGGTAGTCCATTCCTAGTGACAAGGGCTTTGTCAGTTTATGTTTGTTCTTTTAGAAAATAATTTTGTGCCTTTAATCTTGGCCTGAAGTGAATCTGAAAACTACACATTAGGATTGGTAAATTATATTTTGTACATTTTCACAAGCCGCTTATTGGACTTCTGCTAGGGGCTATTTTGCACTTGTGAGGGTCTTAAACAAAAGGAAAATGCACTGAAATAAGTTTTAAGTTTCTGATTGTAAAATAGCCTAATTTAAGTACTTATTCTTGGGAATATGCTACTTTTCAGTGCTGGTGAGTATGAGCATGATGTTTGGTTAAAAAACTAAAAAACAAAAAAAACAACCAAAACCAAAAACATATTAGGTAGGGGCACCTGGCTGGCTCAGTTGGTAGAGACGTGACTCTTGATTTTTGGGTCACGGGTTCAAGCCCCATGTTGGGCGTAGAGTTTTATTTATTAAGTAAGCAAACAAAACCAGTAGGTAATCTTAATTTTGCAAGGCAGTTGAGCTTTATATCTGTTGCTCAAGAAAATGTTATGTCCTGCTTGAATGTTCACATTATGGTACCTGAAAAGGCTAAATAGTTTGCTTGCTAGTGTGTTTGTGGGAGGTGTATTCCTTATACCAGTCTTCTCTATAATGTAACTTGTATTCTTTTCAATTAAGGTACGAGATGAGTATCGGCAGGACTATGACGCTGGGAGAGGAGGCTATGGAAAACTGGCCCAAAACCAGTGAGTGGTGAGACCCCATCATGAAAACTCCTTTGGCCTGTTGAATTTGCCGTGCATTACCCAAGGTCTGCAAACCTGCCCACGTTTACCATGCTTTGATCAAGGTCTCTACTGAGCTGGAACCCTTTTCATGGTTTTCTTTTGAAAACTATTAAAGGACAGAATCCAAAGGAATGCCTTTATTCTGTAGTCTTAGGATCTTGGCCATATGTCAGTTGGCCAGAATGATTTTATGTCACCGTTACCAGAATTTGTGTTCTGTGGCAGCAGATTTGTTCTGTTAGCCCAAAACACCACACTTCTTTTAGGAAGATGGAAAATTTTTAAAAATTGATAATAGATTCATGGTCTTCATGGGGGCCTTAAAATTTTTAAGTTTGCAGGAAATAAAAAAGTGTAATAAATGGGGTTTTGCTATTTTGTGTAACTTTGAATTAGTGAGATGTTTGACCGGAGTTTGTTTTCTGTGTTGAGTTCTGGTCTCTAAAGCCAAACTTACAGGAGTCAAGGGAGCTTCCTAGATTACTGATGCAGAAGCAAGCCTTAAAGCACTGCCCTGGGGGACACTACCGGCGTGTATGCTTTATGTATTAAGACTTTACTAGCATATACTGTACACATTTTCAAAAGATGTGCTCTACTTAAAGATTCATTTTCAGAGTGATCTCAGGAATGGACTGGGTTTAAAAAAAAGAGCTTGAGGATCAAGAGGACACTTACAAAGAACAATCTGAATTGCTTCCCACAGGAAATGTGTTTCAGCCAGTTTTCATTTGAAGTTTTTTTTTCCCCCCTAATTGTGCTTGCCGAGTTTCAGAGCCTGGATAGTGAGTGACCTGATAGTCTCTATAATGAAGGGAGTCTGTAAAATTTATTTTGCATTTAAAGGTACAAGGTGATTTCTCTAATATATATGAACTACTGCTCATTAAACTGTTAGTCTAATATGATTTTCCCTCACTTAAGTGAAGTTTTTTCATCTAGCAACAGAGTATCTCGTAACTTCCACTAGAGTTGTTGAAAGTTGGTGCTGAAGTATCTCAGTGTGAACATCTTTCCCATTACAGTAAGTATAGGTTCTCACATTAAATTCAAGCTGATTATTTGGATTATTAAGAGCTATAACTAGTTGTAAGTGCTTAGGAAAGAACCATCTGCAGATGTTTAATGAGGACATATCATTTTGAAAATTTCCTTCACACTGTAGTTTGAATTAATGTATTTTATAATTTTGTAAAACGTAACTCCAATTTCTACAGGCCTTAAAACCACAGACATTTGAACTGTTAAACCCAATTATCATTGTCTCTGCCTACATGTCACCTATAAAGAGTGACACTGGAACTCTTACTCTGGAATATTTAGGAGTAAGGTGAATTTGCATGTCTGTTTTGTGATTTGACAGGTACCTAATATGGTAGCCACTAGTGATGCTTAGAGAACCCTGCCATCATTGCCGAAAATTCTGTTGGCAGTGTTATGGAAGGGTAGGCTGCTTAGGGCCTACACTGGTCACTGTTCATAAATGAGCCTTGTCATGACAAGAGCATGCCTTTGAAGTACATGTTATTCAAGAGAACACACATTTATAAAGGTATTTAGTTTATTTTTCAAAAAAATATTTTTGCTAGAAGGTTTGAGTAATTTTACATGATCATAATCTTTAAATAAATTCTTTTTCTGACCAAAAGGTACCATTTAAGTGAACAGCTTATCTAGGCCTGTTTTTGTAACACCCAAATACAATTAGCACTTCTCTGATGGTATATTCCCTAGATCTTAATTGTCTATAGGCCAGGAGGCAGAGCCTCACACGTAATAAAAACAGGTGCTTCACAACTGCTGATTAGTTTGGTTTCTTAACATAATTAAACAGAGCAGGTAGTCAGTATATTCAGTTCACACTATTAACATGCCTAAAGGGTCTGATACACCCAGAGCTCTCCCAGTCAGCACTTCTAATGCAGGGAAGCAGTGAACCAACTGCAGAGAAAAAGGGCAGCTCTGACTAGTGCTGACTGTGTCCCAGTTAGGGCTGTTGTTCTGTGCTAGCTATGAATCCAGCGTAACCGGTGTCACTCATACTCAGTGATAAGTAGAAAATACAGCGCAAAACCAAAAAGTGATTTGGGGACTTTGGGCAGCAACTGCTGCTTTTCCCTTCCTTAGGTTCCCTTCCTTAAGAGAATGCTACTAAAAGTTCAGTTAAATCTATATTCATTGCTACAGATTAATGTAAGGACAAATCACTGGAAAGAAAGAACTATAGTAAGTTTGTTGATGGACAGGACTGGGCACAGCTTGAAGGCACATTGTAAGCAGCTTTTAGTTTGTACAAGGCCTGCACTCAACCCCAAAAGCGTAAGGGCTGCCTACCTTGTGGGCACCCAAACAGTTCAGTGCCAAGCTAGTGATAATAAAACAATGCCTGCCTCTTCCACCAGCAGTCCAGACTACCTTTCAAAAACGTCTTTGTTGCAAGGAAGAAATTATTACAAACATCAGAACAAAGGCCCTTCTGATATGGGGCTTGGGCTAAATAGAGGTTCACACCTAATCATGAGAATAGGGGGGAAAAAGCAACTATGAGTGCTAAAACCAAGTTCCACCAACAGAGAAACATTTTGAACCACATTCTTAAAAATATCTGACATTTAGGCAAAAGCATGCTGGTCAGTGCACCTCAAGGCGTCTTATTAAAGTGGAAGTAAAAGGGAAGCTGGCCTTGGACAGTTCACTTTAGTTAACTATGTGCACCCCTGCTTGCCTCAGCACCCAGAGGGTGACCATTTCTCAGACTGTAGGAAACGGCAATTCAAGTTTGGGACATGAAGATTCAGGACACAGTTTTGGTGTCTCTTCTACATACCTGGTTCTGTCAGTGAGGAGGTGAGCTGGAGCTCTGAAGTTTAAGATAGTGGGAGTCCACAGCCTAGTTATACTGGCTACTTTGTATAACTACTTCCCTGCCCCCCAAAAGTTAGGCAAATGTCTTACATGCAGATCTGAAAAAAATTCACGTTTGCATAATTATGTTGGAAAACCTCAAGATGATATCCTCCCTGCTTAAACTGTCCTCTTTGTTAATGATGACATAACCCTAACTGTAGCAGCATAAAGTGCCTCTGATCGCAGTAAGAAATACTGAGTTGGTTTTACAGTAAGTCCAGAGGGCTCTGGAGAGTACTGGGGCTCTTTACAATGTAAACATTGGTGTTGGTGCTTGGAATGTCTGGGAGTGGGAACCCTGCGTATAAACATGTTCGTACCCTCGACTGCTGGCAACCTCACCTTCTGGCCAAGTTTAAACTGCATGTTTCAGCTGCTTATTTTCAATAGTCACACCTAAACAGGCATAATGCCAAGTATCTTCTGTCATTTACTTGGTATTCTGGTAAACTTCTGAGACTCTTACATACACCTTTGTGTTTTTTTCTGCCCCACTTCAGAAAAGATAATTGGGTAATTTAACATGCATCCTTCCAGATTCCCTTTCCTTTCAAGTATCACAAAAGGCTAGAATAAAGATGCAAGATCCATTACTTTAATCCTACTACAGCTAAGCATAAGGACAGGGTCACTTCTGCTTTCCCCCAGTAGGCGAGGCTGATAGAAGTGAAAAAAAGACCCCTGCGCTGGAGTCTCAGGGTGGTCAGGAGAGGCCAGATGAGGAGCCCTGCATGCTGCTGAGATGACCAGAGGGAAGAGCAAATACATTATCTGCTGTGCTCCTCTGCAGTCCAGTCTTCTTACCCTTCCTCTTCTCTCCTCCCTACCCATCTGCAAAAGACCTGGTCAGTCTTTAGTTTTGAAGATTTATATTTTAAACACCTTTGAAGAATAAAAGGTGTTTGGCAAATCTTAATTTCTTCCATATGGGAGACAACACAAGGATAACAGCTTGTACTCAGAAAGGCTGAATTCTCATGTGTTTGACCACTAGTTTAATGGATATTAACATTTTTAATGGGCCAAAACCAAAAATCCAGAGAATTCAGTGTTCCAGCCAAAGCCTTCATAAGACTTAGGCCTTTTTGTTACAATTCTTAAAGCCAAGATTGAAATTTCTCATGTCTTAACTGGACATCCAAAGTTGTCTTTTTCTCCCACCTCAATTAACTCCTCCCATAGTAGGCACTGTGCTTTATATGTGCCTCTCTAAACAGAACACACCAGTCAGGTTTTGGCCACTTCTCACCCTTCAAAAGGAATGCAACTCACTCGGCAAGACTCACTTGGGAGAGGGAAGTCAATGAAAGGTGCAGCAGGTAAAAGGACTGGCTTTGTCAAAACCACCACTCCTAGCTACCCTTTACGCCCCAGGGAACAAATCATTCTCAGAGTTACGTTGAATTAAAAACATCCTGCACTTTTAGGTTCTGGGATTAAAAATTTTAAACCTGTATTCAGTTCACGTCTAACTAAGTTTCAAAAGCCGCACCAAATCTACTAGGCTTTTTTTTTTTCTTTTTTTTTTTAATACTCTGCACTGCATGCTCTGTCTATATGCATGCGTTTGGATAATAAATATTAAATATGGGGGGAAACACACGGAACCCATAAAATTAAAAATGAAACCAAACTGAACATTAAAAAATAGTACACGGTAGCTAGAGAAATGAATAGGGCAAAAAAACAAATTTGAGGTAACAATAGTGGCCCAACACCACTGATCTGAAATATCTGTAAAAATTCAAATAAGTGTTTGGAGATTCAAGTAACAAACCATCTGCTTCAACTTGGTCAGACCTCCCAGAGTCCCTGCTGAGTTTCAGTCCATGAGCCGGCACTCACACAGCTCCTTGTAAATCCTCTTCCGCACTCGGGGCATGTCCTCTTGGGAAAACTGGAAAGGCTGCTCTAAGGCGAGGCACTTGCAGTACTGCAAAGGTCGCAGAAACACTTAAGTGGCATGTGGAGCTAGGAAGCAGCCCAGTGTATTTTCCCAGATGCAGACCTAATAGAATAAGGTCTAAGGCAGCATTTTAAAGTTTGGATGTAAAACACATTGCTTTTAAAACATTTACCTCCAAATTAGAGTCACCTTCCCTGGTAAGTATCTCACTTTGGCCACACAATACTGTAAGAAGCAGAAACTGATAAAAGAGGCTCCAATTCTTCTAAAGGTGTAATGTGCAGAGATGGCAGCTAGACCTAACATAGTCTTTAAGTGAGAACCTCAGTTTGTTTTCAAACCCAAGACATTCATGAGTCAGAGGAATGAGCCCATCTTTCATGATCTTTGCAGATCTCTAAGCTCATGAATTATATACAATTTCCTTTGTAAATATAATGTTTAACAAAATTTTCAGTAGCCCTTAAAGATCACTAAGGAACTCACAGCAGGAGAAAGCAGTTTTTGAATGTGGCCCTTATTTAAAATGTAGTTTTTACTCTGGTTAAAGACCACTTGCCAATGGCTAAAAAAATATATAGTTAATTCTGCAAATGCCAAGGATCTACAATACAGATTGAGATCAGTCTCCAGTGTGCCTTACTAATAACCTGTTGTTCATTCTTGGCTTTAGAAGGTGGTGCTTCTAAAGAGAACGCATCTGAAAGTACAGAATCTACAGCTCCCCATCAACAAAGGAAGGGAAGGAGGAAATACTGTTACCTGTTCCTAGTGCCAGGTGCATACCACAGGGGCTCCCATCTGTCTAAGCCCAACAATTTTAATTCACACATCCTAAATTCTGGAAAAAGAGATATCTTTACCTGGAGCACAAAGACTCCACAGTCACTGTCATTTTTCTGTTGTGGAATACACTAAAGAGAAAAACAAAATGATCATTAAAATAAAACCCAAGTACTTGTCATCAGATAATTTGTTTTTATGGAAAGATGAGCAAAAGACAAAAATCCATCTCTGTCCAAGACAACTGGTGTACTGGTATATACCTTTGGTATTTAAAGTATGGGATTTTATGGAAATATCTAGCCATATCAAAAGAGCAAGCAACCATCTGTAATTTACAGAACATTTTGCCTAAATGGGAGAAATATCCCACTTTAAAACTTCCATTTGGATTACTAGTTCTGCTGTCCGATTACTGACCAAAATAGGATTGTGGATCAAAAAGTGTATGCCTGGACTCGGAATACTTCCTAACGATCCTGCTTAGCAATCTCCACTTTTGATCTCCTACTACACAAATCTTTACTCTTTCAAAGAAATCATAAAGATAAGCAGGTTTCCAAAAGAACTGGTTATGTATTCTGCCTAAAATGGGAGTATGAAAGATCCTGACTAAATTTAGAGTACCTGGATATTCTAGTTGGGTAAATTTAGAAAATTTACAAGTTCAATTCTGGTTTAAACTAAAAGACTAGGTTATTAAGAGAAAATTTATGCTTTTAATGCATAGTTTTTAGTATGTTTAATATGTTTTTAATACATAGATGAAAGTACTTAGCTTTCAGTACAGTTCAAGGATGAACAAATCTGGTCCTTTTGGGTTTGGCTTAAAGTTTGTTTCAAGACTCTACCTCTTTTAAGATTGTGTTCAGTGATCCAGACAGACCTGAGGTCAAGGGCCTGACTGAATAGTTCTGATGGCCTTTGGGGAAGGTCACACCTATGCTTCAGTTTTCTCACCTATAGAATAAAGATGATGCTCATCCTTAAATGACCAATCTGCCTACCTCACAGGTTGTAAGGATCAGATGAGATCACACAGGCAAAAACACTTTGGAAACAATAAAGCAGTGACCATAAAATGTTAAGATACTGGTATCTGTGACAGCAATGAGAAGACATGCCTGGGCACTCTGCCCCACATATAGCCTGAGTATCTATAGGGCAAACGTAGTGCTGCTTTCAGACTGAAACACTCAAGACACTGTCTTCCCCAAATGCCTGGTAAGAAGCCCAGTGCACTTCCTCCCTTAGTGGATCCAAATGGTCATTTCAGCATTTCTCTGGGTCTATGTGGGTCATCTGGAAATAAGAGGCAAGAGGCAGGCGCCACCAAAAGAAAAAAGTTACATATCTATTTTTTTCTTTTATCCCCCCAATACAGCAATCATATCATTAGCAGCTGCCCCAAGGATGAAATGAGTAAATTTGTTCCCCACAAGCACTGGGAAACGAAGCCCTAGATGATCAATACTAAATAGAGGTTTACTCTAAGCTGCCTCTCTGCAGCCTCCAGACTCTCACTGGTTATCTCCATCATCAATCTTAAAATGCTTCTTAAAGACACCCACCCCTAAGATGATTCCATCCCCCTGACATGCCTGAGTTTTCATTTTTGTCACATACTTACCTTTGTAACAGCAGTCTGCCAACCCTGAAGAAATTCAGGTCTATTTTTTTCTCTGGCTTCAGTCAGCAAATACTTTCTTATATTCTGGTTAAAAAGAAACCACAACACAGATGCTGTGTTCCATCAGTTGGTGAAAAATGGAACCTGCCCACAGCAGATAGAAGCAAAGGAGAAAGCTGTGGCCCCACCACTGGGCAAAGTCTGAATTAGAGTTTAAGGTTTAAATAAGCTGAACCTTATTTCTGACCTTTCACTTCACAGTGACTCAGACCTTCTATGCTCAGGTATGCATTTAGGCTCTGGACACCCGTATATGTTTTAATTGGAACTTTTTATAAGATGGTCAGCCTCTTCCAGTAGTAAGCCAACTTGCTGAATGAGAAATTTAAATAAGTACTGGCAGGACAAAAAGAAAGTCTTGATTACTGCCAATGCTCAATACAAAGAAGGAACCATGGCAGAAATCAGTAACTGGAACTAAATGAAAAACATTCCCCGCCTTAGATAATCTGTATTTTGAGGGCTGTAGGTAAAGGTATAATGCAGTTTCTAGAAAGTTATACTGAAACCCATTCTGGATACTAAATACAGTCAAGTCCACTGTGGAAATCTCTACCAGGATGAAGCCTATCAGAGTTTCAAACTTTCCTTGTGCCTTCTACATCCATAGCTCTCTCTGCATCTAAGGTGAAGTCAGACGTTACAGGACTTAAACTAACCCCTCTGAAGATGAAATATGTTTATACATACAACTGTGTGTTTATGCACACATGCATGTACACACATGCATACACATTCTACCGCATCATTCTGCAACTTGCCTTTTAAAACCCAGTACATCTTGGAGATCTTTCCGTGTTAGGACATGGAAATCTGTATTTTTTTTTTTTAACTGCTATGGTCAGTTTAACAGTATGAATATACTATAGTGTATTCAGCTATTCTGTTGGTAGAGCTAAATTTAGATGGTTTTGATTTTTTTTACTATCAGTAATGCTGCAGTGAACATCCTGGTACTTGCCCTATCACTGTGCACGTACATACACAAGCATGTTTTAGAGCAGATACCAAGAAACAGAACTGGTGTGCAATAGGATATACTTTTTTTTTTAAATAGGCTGCATGCCCAACATGGGCTTGAACTCATGACCCTGAAATGAGTGCATACTCCACTGACTTGAGGTAGCCAGGCGCCTCTAGGACATAAACCTTTATAAATTTACAAAACACTTAGAACTGATCAGAATTTTAATTCTCCCAAGGGGCTTGCTATATCAATTAATACACTCCATCAGAAAATAGGAAAGCTGATTTCCTTACATCCACATAAACACCTGAATACCATCAATGCCTAATAGGCAAAACATGGAGCCCTGATATAGTTTTAATTTGCATTTCCTGTACTTCTGGTAAGACGGATCATCTCTCCATGTGTTGATAGGCTATTTGCATTCTTCCTAAAAATTACTTAATTTAACCTTTGTCCATTTCTATTAAGTCTTTTTATTCATTTGTAGGAGTTCTTTATATATTCTGGGTAGTGATTATTATGTCACAAACATTTTCCCCACGTCTACCCTTATCTGTGAATTTTATGGCATACAGAAGTTTTTCTTTTTTTTTTTTAAAGATTTTTATTTATTTGACAGATCACAAGTAGGCAGAGAGGCAGGCAGAGAGAGAGAGAGGAGGAGGAGGCAGGCTCCCTGCTGAGCAGAGAGCCCGATGTGAGGCTCCATCCCAGGACCCTGGGATCATGACCTGAGCCGAAGGCAGAGGCTTTAACCACTGAGCCACCCAGGCGCCCCAGCATACAGAAGTTTTAAATTATGGTCCAGTTTATCAGTCTGTTCTTTTATGTCTTTTTTTGCTTTTATGGTTCTATGTAAGAAATCCTTCCCTAATCCAAGAACTTATATTTACTGTATTTTATTCTTTTACAGTTTTGTGTTTTATATTTAGGTCATTATTTTATGTGGAATTTGTTTATACAAACAGCGTGAAGGAGCTGTATTTTACTTTTCCAAATAGACAACTGCTTTTCACAACAGCATATACTGAATAGCCTGTCTTTTCCCAATTTTATCATATACCAGGTTCTTCATACACATGAGAAATTTCTGGATTCTCTGTGCTGTTCCACCAATATAAATACTGTTTTATTTATTAAAACTGGGTGTTATGGTTTGATATGTAGTAGACCAAGGATTCCTTCCCCATTGTCATACTATGAATTCTGCAATATGGGTTTTAGGATAAGCTTATCAGGTTTCATTCAAAATCCTCTTGGGAAACTGATTATGACAAATGGGTATATATTAATTTGAGGATAATTGATCTGTTTCTCAAACTGAGTCTTCCTGTCTTTCCATCTGCCCAGAGTTCCTTTAAATATAGAGTTTTCATCTTAAACAACTTCCATAATTTTTGCTAGGGTATACTTCTGGGCAATTTACATCTTTGTTGCTTTTGAAAATGGAATCTTGTTTTTAGTTGAATTTCCTAACTCATCCTTCTTAGTGAGAGAAAATCAGGGAACCTATTGATTTTTTCTTGCTTTGCCTCCTATCATCCTGTTGAACTCCTGTTAGTTGAGCTCTCATATTTTGCCAGCTGATTCTCTTGATTATAACTCATTCTGCATGAGTTATTTTGAAGCTACATGCCCATTACAGCTCTAAGAGAAAGAAAGAAAATGATTTCTTTCCACATACAAAATGTAGCTTTATGGGAAGGCAGGAAAATATCTGACAAAATCTAAATAGGGCATGTATCTCAGAGGGGGGATCCAGATCACAGATAGCTACCTTCCCCCCAACCTGGGGATTCCTCTTGCAGTAGTCCTTTTCTCTCCCAACATTTCGGAAAGTCTGTATGACAGAAACTGATGCTCTATCAGACTGACTTCTGCTGTGCTAAGATACTGTTTGATCACAAGATGAATAAGAAAATACAAGCAGTATATTAACTTACCTCTACACAAAACTTAAAATGAATGCCTTGGGAATCATAAAATGAAATAATTCGATTAGAGAGTGTCACGGTAATGAGAGACCAGTGGACTTCCAGGTGAATAGGAATCAACAGAAGACTCTTTTTAAACAAATCCACCTGATTAAAAAGAAAAAAGGAAGAAAAAGAAATGCAGCCATCACCACAGACTATCCAAAAGAACAATGGCAGCAGCTTCCATTTACTGACTTTTGACCCGCCCACGGCCATAAAAGCAGAAAGTGGTGAAGCCAAAATTTGAACCCAGGTTGGAATCTAAAGGCCCATGCTTGTAACTACTAAGCCATAATAGACAATAAGAAAACTGAAGATCTAGAAAGCACCACTTCACATTTAACCTGACACACCTGTGCATACACCTTTTCAAGTCGTTAACATTGCTTAGCCTCTTACTTTTATGCTTAATTTTCTTGTGTACACATTTGACTTTGACTCAATTCTTACTTAGAAAGGAATCATGTATTAGAAAACAGCAGACTGTAAGTCTTCTTTATTTACAGACTCCATATCATAGTTATGATCATGGGCTTGGAAGTTAAGTCTGGTTAATTACACCTCCTCCACCTACTGGCAAGATGACTTTGGCAATTTTTGTAGCTTCTTTGTTCCCTGATTTCTTCAACTATAAATTACAGATAACAATATCTGCCTTATGAAGCTGTTGAGAGTGATAATACATGTAAGATGTGTAAAACTGCTTTCACACATTACATGTAGCCAGTAAATCTTAACTATCACCATTATCACTACCCTCAGGTCTCCCAGATATCAAAATTGAGAAAAATAGCCTTAATAATTATTTACACATCCTTTACAATCTAGAAATATTTACTCTTCCATTCAAAACCTCAGTTGTGGATTGGTTGATAAAGTAGTAGGTGCTCAATAAACACCTGTAAAAAAGTGAATGAGTTTCTTTTTTCAGATATTTTTTGAGAGGCGGGGTTTTTTGTTGTTGTTGTTAATTCCATGGTTTAAAACAATCACAAAGCTATTTTCAACTACATCAGATTCTTACAAGGTATTTCTCAAGCCTTCCTTGCTTTCTGATATTCAGGTAATGTCCTGCTCTAGATGAATCTTCTACTAGTCAACATGATCTTGGAGCAAAGCACTTTAGCAGTTCTACTTTTCCAATTTTTGCATCCATTAACCTGAGAAGTGAGGTGGACAGAAGGAAATATGAGGACAGCTGGTCCTTCCCAATGCATAAATTGTGAGTATCTAAAACAAGGACTCACATCTAAAATACAATATTAAATGAGACCAAATTTTATATTCTTCTCAAAAAGAAACTTTTTAATTTAAAAATTTTTGAAATAAATACAGAAAAAAATACACTTCAGTGTGTATCTTTCCAGATTATTTTTCTTTTTAATACGTTTTGTCACACTTTTTTTTTTTCCTCTCAGAGATTCTGAGAGAGAGCATACTCAAGAACATGAATGCGGTGAGAGGCAGAGAGAGGGGGAGAATCTCAAGGAAACTCTGTGCCAAGCGCAGAGCCCAGTGCAGGGTTCGATCTCACGACCCAGAGATCATGACCTGAGCCAAAACCAAGAGTTGTATACTTAAATGACTAAACCACCCAGGTACTTGCCCCCAACACACACTTTATACATACAATTAAGAATGATACGTGTGGAAGATTATACTATTGATCCCAATTTGTTGTCCTCCCCATAAAAGGAGTACACAGAAGCTTCACTGTTGCTCCCAGGTGAAGAATATAGTCCTATCATGTGATCTGCTTTAACCCATGCTCTTGTAAACAGAAGCAAACTTACGTCATGATCAAGCTGAAACTTCCAGAGCCATCATGTGGCCCTGAGACTGTTAATGTTTCAAGATTGGTGCTGTTCCATCACTCTGGGTTCCATTTAAGGAGTAAAAATGAAAAAGCATAGGAACCTCTCCTCAGATGCAGGGAAAGCATTTGATAAAACTCAATATCCATTTAGGATTAAAAACTCTCAGCAAACTAGGAATAGGAGCAAAACTTACTTAACCTGATAAAGAATATCTACAAAAAATCCCACATGGGTGCCCAGGTGGCTCAGTCAGTTGAGTCTTTGACTCTTGGTTTCCGCTCACGTCATTATCTCATGGGTCATGGGACTGAGCCCTGCTCTGGGCTCTGCAGTCAGTGGGGATTCTCGCCCTCTGCCCCTTCTTCCACTTATGTGTGCTCTCTAAAATAAATAAATGAATCTTAAAAACAACAGAAGCAGCAACCCTCTGATTGACATCATAAATAGTAGGGAAAGACTGAATGCTTTTCTCCTAAGATTGAGAACAAGTCAAAGACATTCTATCAGAAGTCCCTGCCAGTGCAATGAGGCAAGAAAAAATGGCATACAGTTTAGAATGGAAGAAATAAAACACTACTTACAGACATGATTATGAAAATCTGACAATCGACAAAAAAGCTCCTAGAGGAGGAGTGCCTGGGTGGCTCAGATGGCTAACTGGCTGATTTCAGCTCAGGTCATGATCCTGTGGTTGTGGGACTAAGCCCTGCATTGGGCTCTGTCCTCAGCAGAGTCCGGCTTGAGAATTGCTCTTTCTCCTTCTCTGTCTGCCTCTCCCCCAACATGTACACATGCGCTCTCTCTCACTCACTCTCTCCAAAATATATAAATATTTAAAAAAGCAAAAAAGCTCCTAGAACCAGTGACTCCAGTAAGGTCAATGGCTATGAGGTCAATTCACACCAAACAACTGGAAGGTAACGTTTTAAAAATTCTATTTATAGAAGTTTCAGAAATATGAAATCCTTAGGGTTTTTTAAAGATTTTATTTATTTATTTAACAGAGATCATAAGTAGAGAGGCAGAAGAGAGAGGGGGAAGCAGGCTCCCTGCTGAGCAGAGAGCCCAACGTGGGGCTTGACCCCGGAACCTTGAGATCATGACCTGAGCCGAAGGCAGAGGCTCAACTGACAGCCACCAGAGAATGAGAGAGAGAGAGAGAGAGAGAGACAACACGAGAGGGGAGAGATCAGAGGGAGAAGCAGACTCCTCACCAAGGAGGAAGCCTGATGTGGAACTTGATCCTGGGATTCCAGGATCATGACCCAAGCCAAATGCAGTTGCCTAACCAACTGAGCCACCCAGGCACACCAGGGAAAGCATCTGATAAAACTCAACATCAGGGTTATGTTATGTTTTTAAAAAATATGTGCAAGACCTGCATACTAAGAATTACAAAATACTGCTGAGAAAAATGCAGAGCCAAAATGAAGGGAACATATACCACATACATGGACTGGAAGACTTAATATTGCTAAAATGTCTATTCTCCCCAAACGAACATATAAACACAATCCTAATCAAAATCCAGCAGATTTTCTTTAAAAAACAGACTGACAAGCTAATTCTAAAATTTATATGAAAATGCAAAAGACCTAGAATTCCCGAAACAGTCTGGAAAAAGGATAAATCTAGCCATCTTACACTGATTTCAAGATGTACTATAAAGATACAGTAATCAAAACTGTGGTATTATTAACATTAAGAACAAAGGTCAATGGAAATGAGCATAAAGTGCAAAAACAGACCCGGACATATGTGGCCGTTCACTTTCTACAGTGGTGCCAAAGCAATTAAACTAGGAAAGAGAAGTCTTTTCAATGCAAATGACATTGGAACAACTAGATATCCATATGGAGAAATCCTAAAAATTAAAGATCTTTACCAAAACACACGGTTAAAATAAGTAGAAAAGCCACAGACTGAAATCACAAAACCTATACCTGACAAAGGATTTATATCCACAACAATAATAACCCTTTACCACAAATCTTTTCATTTGTATCACCCACCCATTTTTCTATTTAGTTGGTGAAGTCTTTGTCTTATCCATTTATATAAACCCTTTATGCATTAAGAAAATTAGTTCTGACATTAATGGCAATTTTTTCCCCAGTTTGTCATCTTTTTTTTTTTTTAAGATTTTATTTATTTATTTGCCAGAGAGAGACAGTGAGAGAGGAACACAAGCAGGCTTCCTGCTGAGCAGGGAGCTCAATGTGAGGCTGGATCCCAGGACACTGGGATCATAACCGGAGCCGAAGGCAGTCGCTTAAGAACCGAGCCACCCAGGTACCCCTCCCAGTTTGTCTTTTTACAATTGCTTTTTTTTTTTTTTTTTTTGAGAGAGCGAGCTAGAGCGGTCTCATGCTGGGAAGGGCTGGGCGGGGGGTGCAGGAAATGACAGAGGGAGAAAACCTTAAGCAAGCTCCACTCCCAGCACAGAGCCTGACCACAGGACTTGATCTCACAATGCTGAGATCATGACCTGAGCTGAAATCAAGAGTGGGATGCTTAATCAACTGAGCCACCAAGGTGTCCCCTACACTGCTCCTGTTTTAAATAGTTATTTTTTCTTGTTATGTAACTGAATTAATTCATTTTTCTTTTGTAAACTTTTAAGTTGTACAGAGAACAGACTTAGCTACCCTGAGATTATTTTTAGCAAGTTCTTGTAAGGACTTTCTTAGTACTTTTCTTAGTACTTTCATGGTTTTATTTATTTTTGTTGCATTCAAATCCTTGGTCATTCTGTAATTTATCTTCATATAATCTAATTTAATGAGTACTTAATTCTTCTATTTTTCATTTTTTCTTTAGTGATAAAGGCATTTATGGCCATTAACTTTCTTCTCAAACCAGCCTTCATTATGTTCCACAGTGCTTGGTAAGATGTGTTCCCCCCTTTCCATCCCTTTTTAGACAATTGGTATATAATTTCTTTTTAAAATGTTTAGATCCAAGTGTTTCATATGCAATTATATGCATATCTGTAAAATTTTCAGACTGTTAGATTTTTTTGGCCACCTTTATTTTTTACTGAACTGTGATCAAAGAATAACATAGGTAATAATTTTCTATGTGGCCAAATAAATGCATGATCAGTTTTTACAAAATCTAGTATAGAGCTATTAAACTAAATTTAGTACTGGTTGTATTATTATTTTATGATTTTGTTTTATGTCAGCCTGCTCTATCCAACTACGAGAAGTCTCCTGCTATCACTATTTTATCAAGGTCTCCTTCTATAATTTTGTTAGATTTCTATATATTGAAATCTTATCACCTAATTTACTTTTTACCTTAACATCTACCTCATCTGTTCCTAATACTGCCATTCCTCCTTTTTGGCTACCACTTTCTCTCGGTTTACATTTGTCTAGTACCTCTTTAACTGTCACTTTGTTTTCAACCTTTCTTGTTCATTTTACGTTTATTTGTCATATACAGCATATACAGATATACCTCAGAAATATTTGGGTTCAGTTCCAGACCACTGAAATTAAGTGAGTCAAATGATTTCGGTTTCCCAGTACACATAAAACTTATTTACACAAACTGTAGTCAATTAAGTATACAGCATAAAATAAACATACCTTAATTAAAAAACAATAAACATACCTTAATTAAACAAACATACCTTAATTTAAAAATACTGCTAAAAATGCCAACCATCATCAGTGCTAACTCACTCTCAGTGAGCCGTAATCTTTTTGCTGGGGAGGGTCTTGCCTCAATGTTGATGGCTCCTGACTGATCAAAAAGGTAGTATACTGAAGACTGGGTGGCTGTGGCAATTTCTTAAAATCGGATAACAATGAAGTTTACAACATCGATAGAATCTTCCTTTCACAAACAATTCCTCTGTAGCATATAACACTACTTGACAGCATTTACCCACAGAACTTCTTTATCAACCAGGTTTACATAATACTGTAAATTCTTTGTTGTCATTTCAGCAGTTGTCACAGCATCTTCACCAAAAGTAGATTTCATCTCAAGAAACCATTTTCTTTGCTCATCTATAAGCAGCAATTCCTCAGGGCGCCTGTGGCTCAGTTGATTAAGTGTCTGCCTTCGGCTCAGGTCGTATACGATCAAGCCACACATTGGGCTTCCTGCTCAGTGGGGTGTCTGCCCCCCCGCCCCGCTTATGTTCACTCTCTTTCAAATAAAATCTTTTAAAAAATTAAAATTAAAAAAAAACAAAAACAAAAAAAAAAACAACTCCTCAACTGTTCAAGTTTTGTCATGAGATTCCAGCAATTAAGTCACGTCTTCGGGTTCCTTTTTTTTTTTTTTTTTTTTAAGCATTTGAGAGAGAGAGAGAGTGCAAGTGGAGGAAGGGGCAGAGGCAGAGAGTCTCAAAACAGACTCTGCGCTGAGCACAGAGGCAGATGCGGGGCTCAATCGCATGACCCTGAGACCACGACCTGGGCCGAAATCAGGAGTTGGACGCTTCAAGAGTTGGACGAAAGGAAGATTTGGTAGACTGCAGCACCCAGTGCCCCAATCAGGCTCCACTTCTAATTCTAGTTCCCTTACTATTTCCCACACATCTGTGGTCAGTTCTTCCACTAATATCTTGAACCCCTCAAAGTAGTCCAAGAGAGTTGGAATAAACATGCTCCAAACTCCTGTTTATGTTTCTATTTTGACCTATTCCCATGAATCACACATGTTCTTAATGGCATCTAGAATGATGAATCCTTTCCAGAAGATTTTCAGTTAACTATGACCAGATCCAACCAAGGAATCTACGGCAGGTATAGTCTTATGAAATGTATTTCTTAAATAATACGACTTGAAAGTTGAAATTACTCCTCAATCCATGGGCTGCAGAACGGGGTTTATGCAGGCATGAATACAACATTAACCTTGTTAGACACCTCCATCAGAACTCTAAGGTAATCAGATGTGTTGTCAATGAGCAGTCTTATTTTGAAAGACATCTTTCTGAGCAATAGTTCTCAACAGTGGGCTTAAAATATTCAGTAAACCATGTTGTAAATGGATGTGCTGTCAGCAAGGATTTGTTTTTCCATTTATAGAACAGAGAGAGAGAGTAGATTCAGCATAATTCTTAAAGGCCCTGGGATTTTCAGAATGGTCAATGAGCACTGGCTTCAACTTCAAGTCAACAGCTGCATTAGCCCCTCCTTAACAAGAGAGCCAGCCTGTCCTTTGAGCCAAGTATCCTGACTTCTCTTCTTTACTATGAAGGTCCTAGATGGTATCTTTTGCCAATAGAAGGCTGTTTCATCTGCTGCTGAAAATCTGAAAATCTGCTGCTTAGTGTAGACACCTTCAGGAGTATCTGAGCTAGCTCTTCTGGAGAACTTGCTGCAGCTTCTATATCAGCACCTGCTGCCTCCCCCTACACTTTCATGTTCAGAGACGGCTTCTTTCCTTAACCCTCATGAACTCACCTCTGCAGGCTTCCAACTTTTCTTCTGCAGCTTCCCCTCACCTCTCTCAGCGTTCATAAAATTCTTGAAGAGAGTTAGAGCCTTGCACTAGATTAGGCTTTGGCTTAAAGGAGTGTTTTATCTGGTTTGATCCTCTATCCAGACAATCAAAACTTTTGTTGTTCTTAGCGATAATGCTATTTTCACTTTTTTGTCATTCATGTGTTCACTGAAGTAGTACTTTTCCTTCAAGAACTTTTCTTCTGTGTTCACAACTTGGTTGTTTAGCACAAGACGCCTGGTTTTTAGCCTATCTTAGCTTTTGACATCCCTTCCTCACTAAGCTTAATCATTTATAGATTCTGATTTAAAGTGAGAGACATGTGATTATTCCTTTCACTTGAATAGAAGGTTAATTTAACTTGAACACACTGTGGTGTTACTGGCCTAATTTCAATATTCCTGTGTCTAGGAATAGGGAGGCCCAAGGAGAGAGAGAGATGGGGAACACCCAGTGGGTAGGACAGAACACACCTAGCATTTATAAAGTTTGCCATCTTATATGGGTACAGTTCATGGCACTCCAAGACAATTGTAACAGGAACAAAGATCACAGATCACTATAAGAAATATAATAATTAAAAAGTTTGAAATACTGCAAGAATTACAAAAGTGTGACATAAAACAATGTGAGCAAATGCTATTGGAAACACAGAGCCAACAGACTTACTTGATACAGGGTTGTCACAAGCCAATTTGTAAAAAATGCAGTATCTACAAAGCACAGTAAAGTGAACTGCAGTAAAAGAAGGTATGCCCGTATGTGGCTTGTACCACTGGATGGGCTGCAGTGGTGTTTATACAAGAAAAATTAAGGATCACTATTAGGGGACTGTTCAAATTAAAAATATATACCCATATAGTGGGATGCTACTTAACCAAGAAGAGTGAAGTAGATTAGGAAAGATGATCATATACTGTACTTAGAAGTCATTTTTCACATTTCCTTCTCCTTCATCCCCATAACCAATCTATCACCCAAGTGACAGATTTTACTTCCCAGATTATTCTCATTTATGTACATATCCCATCTGTCCTACCGTTCTAATCCAGAGTACCATCAACAGTACTTCACAATAGCCTTCTGTTCTACCCACAGCGGCTTTGCTCCCACACCCATCTTCTTCAGTGCTGCTGCAAACTGGATGATGTCACCTAAAACCCTTCAGTAGATTCCTGTACATTTAGGATAAAATTCAAAATCTAGACCTTAAGGTCCAACATCTCTGATCAGCTCTACTTCACGCCACTCTCTTCTTTGCTGTCTGCATTCCAGCTACACAAGCCGCCTCACATGCTTCTTCCACCATAAAATAATGATTATCACTGTGTGTTTACCATGCACTTAATGGTTTACACAAATTATTTCATTTAATCCTCTCAACAAGGTAAACAGTCATGATACTACCACTTGACAAATGAGGAAACTGAAGCTTAGAGGAATTCAGCAATCTGCCTAAGGTCTTACAGCTTAAGTGAAGTATGGACTAGAATTTGAACCCAGCTCTGAGTCCTAACTTCATTCTGTCTTATTCCAGATTTGTACTCTTCAACCATGTCTCATTTATCTTGGCATTACTAATGATGCTTTGCACATATTACCTAAATAGCAATATTCATTCAGGTGTTTGTACTTAGCAAAAAATTATTTCCATCCACAGCTACTCACGACAAGACTTACTCCTAATTTCTATAACCAATCCAGTATAAAAAAGTGAAATGCTACAGTATCTCTAGACCTATGGCTGGAATTTGAACTCACTGGTAATTTTGTCAAAATGTCAAAAATAGAATATAAATAGGCTTTTAAAGTAATGTTTCTGGCATTAGTCAATGGCTACAGAGAGAAATTAAGGTTGCAAGGAGCCTTAGGGATTACTCTGATTTATCATTTTGTTTTATAAACAGCATTCTAAAGCCCAGAAAAAGTGTCTTGTCCAACCTGCACAGCAAGCTAATAGCAATGCTGGAACCATGAACTTCCAGCCCTGTGCTTTTTAGAGAATATTCCAATCAACTGGATAGATTCAGAATTTTACTAGTATCTTGTGCTTCAAACAGTAAGATGTTAAAAAACCCCGAACTATCATATTAAAAACAACTATCATATTAAAGTGTTTTTTTTTTTAAATATATTTTTAATTTATTTATTTGACAGGCAGAGAGGTAGGCAGAGAGAGAGGGAGGAGGAAGCAGGCTCCCTGCTGAGCGGAGAGCCTGATGCGGGGCTCGATCCCAGGACCCTGGGATCATGACCTGAGCCAAAAGCAGAGGCTTTAACCCACTGAGCCACCCAGGTGCCCCTAAAGAGTTTTTATTTTAAGAGTCTTTCTAATTAATATCATATTGACATTAAAGTTGTTACCCTTCTACTCAAAATGGCTTCTCTGCATTTCAAATTTAGAATCAAAAAGAAATAAAGGGAATACCTTTTTAGTCCATCTTTTTACTCCATTATATCCTTTGGTTACCAGCTGTCTATGAAAAAAGCTGTTGAAGAAGTGAACCTAGAAGAGACATCAAATACAAGCACCCAGATTATATTAAGCTGTGCACAGATTTAACTTCAAAAGAAAATGGAAATTAAAAAAACCCTTGTATGTAAGATAGACCAAACAGTGAGGGAAAGTTTCTTCTATAGAAAACACATTACATGATTCACAGAAGATTCTGTTCCAGATTTTCTTAGAACAACGGTGTTCTATAGTCAGAACTGGGACAGTAAATAAATAGATCACCTAAATCTAAGCAAGTGGAAAAGCAACCTGACAAATCTCTCCAAATCTTGTGATAAAACTGAAAGAGGCTAAGAAAGAATGAGGTAACATTACCTTGTACTCAAGGGATATGGCTTACAAAATTAACGCCCTCTAAGGACGTGGATTTGCAGACTCCTGCTGTCATAACAACTACTAAAAGGCTTTAAAATGAATATTTCTAGCACTGAAATTTCTGACTTATAAATTAGGATCAGCTCAACTGAGAGAGTAAGCATCTTGTGGTCTTAAACTGTTCACTCAGTAACTCTGACTCACTTGAGATGAAAATACTTGCCCTATTTGAGGTTCTCAGGTTGTGATCACCAGATCAGCAGTATCAGTATCACCTGGGAACTTGCTAAAATGCAAATTTTCAGGCTCCACCCCATACCTCCTAATGAAGAAACTGAGGGTAGAGCTCAGCAATCCAGAAGATCCTAATGCACTTTTGTTTTTAGAACTCTGCAGCTTAAGATGTCAATAAAAAGAGCTTGTCGCAGCTATTTCCAGAACAGTGATTCTCAAACTTCATGTGTATCAGAATCCAGAGGGCTTATTAAAACACAGATTGCTGGGCCTCACCTCCAGTTTCTGATTTCGTAGGGGTGGGTTAGAGTTCAGAATTTTGTATCTCTAGTAAATTCCTAGGTAATGCTGATGCTGCTGGTCTGGGGACTACACTTTGAGAACGACTGCCTTAAGTATCCATCCTTTTAATCCAACGAAGGTTCAGAATTAAATGTAAAAGTAATGAAGGTAAATTATATCCTTGAAACTAATACTTTTATGTTAAAAATCATCTATATGTGTTTAGGTTTAAACCTTCTGGTGATGATGAGAATTTTACATAAAAGAGAATCCAACAGACTAGCCTCATGATTCCAATTTATTTTTTATTTATATTTATTTTTAAATTCATATTTATCTATTTATTTATTTATTTGACAGAGAGAGAGAGAGACAGGAAGAGAGGGAATACAAGCAGGTGGAGAGGAGAGGGAGAAGCAGGCTTTCTATTGAGCAGGGAGCCCAACCTGGGGCCCAATCCCCAGACCCTAGGATCATGTCCTGAACCCAAGGCAGACGCTTAACGACTGAGCCACCCAGGCACCCCTCATGATTCCAGTTTAAAATGGAAAACAGATTTGTGGTTTTAATGGGAAGTTATATGACATTTTGTCTGTATTCATAGTGTTGGAATCTCAGATGCATTATATCTGTTTAAATTATTAGATTTATAAAAGTTTATAAAGTACTTGGAAAGGTTTTGTATGTTGAACTCAAAGGCTGCCCATCAGACAATCTGCATATTCAGAAAAATTAAATTAAAAAAATAATTTTAATAATATCTAAGTTTTTTTTTTTTAAAAAGCTTTTATTTATTTATTCGACAGAGAGAGATCACAAGTAGGCAGAGAGAGAGAGGAGGAAGCAGGCTCCCCACCAAGGAGAGAGCCCGATGCGGGGCTCGATCCCAGGACTCTGGGATCATGACCTGAGCCGAAGGCAGAGGCTTCAACCCTCTGAGCCACCCAGGTGCCCCAATAGTATGTAAGTTCTTATGGGAATTTTAGAGTTCAAGGAGGGTTTTTTTTTGGGGGGGGGGTTATTTTAATTTTTTTTCTTTTTTTGTTTACAATTTCTCTCATTCATTCATTATTTGACACAGAGGCTGGGGGGGGAGAACAAACACAAACAGGGGGAGCAGCAGGCAGAGGGAGAAGCAGGCTCCCCACTGAGCAAGAAGCCTGATGTGGGGCTCAATCCCAGGACCCTGAGATCATGACCTGAGCCGAAGGCAGCCACTTAACTGACTGAACCACCCAAGTGCCCCAGGTTTGTCTGTATTTAAACACAGTATCAAAGATTAATCTACAAAAAAAGTGGTAATGAATACTACTATATTAGATCTTTAAAGAGAACGAAACTTTAAATTAAAAGCTTAAAGCTGGGGCGCCTGGGTGGCTCACTGGGTTAAAGCCTCTGCGTTAGGCTCAGATCATGATCCCAGGGTCCTGGAATAGAGCCCCGCGTTGGGCTCTCTGCTCAGCGGGGAGCCTGCTTCCCCTTCTCTCTCTGCCTGCCTCTCTGCCTACTTGTGATCTCTGTCAAATAAATAAGTAAAATCTTAAAAAAAATATATATATATCCCTTTTGTGTATCTCTCCACTGTTAAAAAAGAGACAGCAAGCCCAAAATGGAATCTAACTTAGTGTTGACTTATGCTTAGCCCATGTCATCAAACCCAAAATACCTAACCTAACTGCAACTTCACTCTCTCTTAGGACTGCAGAGTCTTAATAGAATTACCTGGTCAGCACTACTGAGGTAATCTGCTTGTTAGACCCTGTCTTCCCCTAGAGGAAGGTGACTTCACTGCAACCAATCTGCTCTTTGCTAGTAACTTCATTGTCCTGCCCCTTCTGCCTTGTAAGTCTTGTATTCTGTACGGCTCTTCAAAGCTCCATTTTACCTGTTAGTAAGATGCTGCCCAGTTCATGAATCATTTGAATAAAGCCAGTAAGATTCTTAAATGTACTCAGTTAACATTTATTTCTTAATACCTTTTTAATTTTTTTTATTTTTAAAAGATTACTTATTTATTTATTTGACAGAGAGAGAGAGAGAGAGAGAGAGGAAACAAAAGCCGGGGGAGTGGGAGAGGGAGAAGCAGGCCTCCCACCAAGCAAGGAGCCTGATGTGAGCCTCAATCCCAGGACCCTGGGATCACAACCTGAGCCGAAGGCAGATGCTTAATAATTAAGCCACCCAGGCACCCTCTTAACACCATTTTTTAAAAAGCCTCCTTGGGGTGTCTGGCTGGCTCAGTCAGTGGAGCATGTGATTCTTGATCTCAGGGTTGTGAGTTCAAGCCCCATGTTGGGTATAGAGATTACTTAAAAAGAAAATCTTTAAAAAAAAAAAAAAAAGGTCTCCTGAAGAATCAGCATACCCACTTTGAAACAAATATGAAGAAAATGATGGCATCGGACTTTTTTATACTAAAATATTGTAGAGAACTTCTGCCGAACTCTAGTACCTGAACAAGGCAAAATCGAACACTTTTAAAAATCTAAGGAATGTCGGGGTGCCTGGGTGGCTCAGTGGGTTAAGCCTCTACCTTCAATTCAGGTCATGATCTCAGGGTTCTGGGATCGAGCCCAATGTCTGGCTCTCTGCTCAGCAGGGAGCCTGCTTCCCCTTTTCTCTCCGCCTGCCTCTCTGCCTACTTTTGATCTCTCTCTCTGTCAAATAAATAAATAAAACCTTAAAAAATAATTTTTTTTTAAGGAATGTCAGGGATGCCTGGGTGGCTCAGTCAGTTAAGCATCTGCCTTCAGCTCAGGTCATGATCCCAGGACCAATCCCCCACTGGGCTCTTTGCTCAGTGAGCCTGCTTCTCTCTCTGCCTGCCACTCCCCCTGCTTGTGCTCACTCGCTGACAAGTAAATAAATAAAAACATCTTAAAAAAAAAACCTAAGGAATATCAAATAAATACATAAAGTTAAAAAATCTCATTTTAATACATAAGGATTCTCTCTCCTGAAGAAGAATAACTTTGCACTTACTTTGTCTGGGACTGCATCCATTATCAGCTCACCATACATATTAATGACCTATAAAAAGTCAACATAAAACCAGCTTACTAACCCTATACAATATATAACATTCCACACAGAATGAGTAACACTGACAGTTTACCATTTGGATACTGGGGTTAGTGAATGAATCACTTCAGTAAGGGTAAAGAATCTTTGATTCTAAAAGATAACTGCGAGGCCAACCCAAAGATTAATTATATTTTATCGTCCAACATCCTCTGCAACTTTTCCACACCAAGAACCCACAATATACTAACCTGGTCATTCAACCAATTCTGACCATCCAGAGTTGCCAGATCATCCATATCCAACATGTGCTTATTATAGAAGATGCGGAAGTTGCATTTTTGATGTCTGGCCCGATAGTTTGTTATTTCTCTATTGATAAATGGTTTTCTGAAAAAGAAAGATTTTGAAAGAAAAGAGACATGAGTTCTACTCAATTTATTGCTAAGTCTTCTTTTTTTAATTAAGAGAAAAGTCATATATACCAACAATTTTATTTTCAAGGGCTTAACTTAAGCATCATTGACAAACCTATTAGAAAAGTCTTCATTAAAGACGTCTTTTAGTCTTCCAAGGACATCTTTTTCACTGAGTGGGACCAAACTGCCATACTTCTTCATAACCTCATCTAGGAATCCTTAAATAAAGGAAGAAAAATTACAGTGGAAAAAACATTTCCAGAAAAAGTCATTCTCCCATTACTTAACCTATACATGACACTTACCACACATTTAACCTATAATACCATATATGGTACAAAGAAATCTTTTAAAAGTTACGTTTTGTAAAGGATAACATAAAATAGATCAGGCCTTCACCATTCCAATCTAAAGAGAAATGCCCAGAGAACTCCTCTACTTACTACATGGAATGCCTCCTGATACATGAATCAATTAATAAAGTCAATTAGATCTTTAAATTTACTCCATTGAATTTTTTTTTTTTTAAACGTGGCCAATCCAGATGACTTTCAAGAAATAAAAGAATGTATCAGTTTGACACTGGTGGAACATAATAGGAACCAGCAGAAGATACCCCTCATGAACTGGATGTTAAATGACCCATCAAGCTATAAAGTTAATATGTACAACAGCACTCCACCAACAAATAGAAATGAGATTCTGGACCCAGTTCCAGCATGGGGGTATGTTCCTCCCACCCATAAGATGAAGCAATTCTTGGATACCAGCAGGCAGTCCGAAAATTCAACTCAAGTCTGATCCTATCTAGGGATGCCTGGGTGGCTCCACTGGTTAAGCATCTGCCTTCAGCTCGGATCATGATCCCAGGGTCCTGGGAGCCCCTCACTGGGCTTGCTGCTCAGCGAGAAGCCTGCTTCTGCCTGCCACTCTGCCTGCTTGTGCTTTCTCTGTCAAATAAATAAAATCTTAAAAAAAAAAAAAAAAAAAAAAGAGAGAAATGCCCGAAGGTAGTATTTCGCATTGGCTTTTTAAGCTACTGATGCACTATTAGAGAGGGAATCGCTAGCTGAAATAAAGACTGACATCCTTCAATAGCTTAACCTTAAAGATGAATCCTATCTCCTGAGGAGTGATACCTAAAGGGTTTAATCACCTGGTTAAATGTCTATTACATTTGGTGACTGAAGGCATTATCTTTTTAAAAATCACAATTACAATTTAATTGTTGAGATCACTGTTACTGTGTTCTTTGGTAAATGTGTGTAAATTTCACATCTCATAGCAAGGGACAAATTCTAAGGCATTTTTAATATCATACAATTGGGCAGTGTTGTTATACTTCTGATACCAAATAACCCTGTAAGGTGAACTGGGTAACAACCGGGGAGGCACATTTTAAGAGGAGAAACAAGGGTGACCTTGGCCAGAATACAGGATAGTCTTCAGGTGGCTTCCCAGAGGATCCACTGAAGAAACATACCTGAAAAAGTCCTAGGAAAGTAGAACCAGAACATTATTTCTAAGGAAATAGAAAGAAGCTGAGGGAAGGCTGAGAGGCTCACAGAAGTGCTGACTTACGGTATTTATTCATTGATGCTGAATGGGCAGAGCAACAACCTAGTTAACCCTCAGTCTGACAAGTCTACTGAGTTAAAATGGGAAGAAAAGATACTGTTAGCCACTTATTTTACCCAGCTCCTTTTTCTCCCTTTCTAACTTCGGAGAATGGCCCCTGGTACACACTGATACAAAAGGACAAAAAAGAGCACAACGAAGTGACTGTCCCAGGAGTGGAATGGTGTATTTTGTGGGTCTTTCTGAGGATGGGCAGACAAGGGTACGAAAAACCTATCTTCCTTCTGTTAGTCTCCCACCAGAAGGCCCCCAATTTGAAACACTTAAGAGCAAAGATCAGGATATAGTAAACAGGGAAGAGTGCTTGTTTGCCTGGTTCTGGTCTGGGATTTAAGCATACAGAGACAGAAAGGGAATCCCTTGTTGCAGCTTGATAAGAGTAGGAAGTAAGGATTTAGGGCCTCTAAACTAGAAATAGAGCATGCAGTTGCCTGTGTTTACAAGATCCTATAGTTACCTAAGAACAGCCTTGTGTCTACTGGGGAGAATGAACCCAAACAGAAGATAAGGAATCCCAACATTTGAGATACTGCATTTGAGGAACAAATTTTATACAGAATAATGCCCCTGATAACAAAAGATTAAACTTTAGGCCCAGCATCCTTAATTGAGAGTCCTCAAATAAGAGAGCAGTTTCCTCTATCAAGGGGATATGGACCCCAATTCCAAACTAGTATCACAGGAAAGAGGTGTCCTTGCTAACAATTTTATTATCTGTGGATAGTAGTGTTTTGGGATTTTAAGTTATTATATTTTTTCCTCTTAACTGTATTTTTGTTTTCACTTTCAGATGATAAACAAGGATTTCCAATGCAATAGAAAGGCCCTGCCTGCATCTTCAAGGAGAACCCTTCACGAAGATAAACACATCTCACTGGGACCAGAAGTAAAATGGCAGTCAAAGAGCACTATCATAAACCAAGCACTAATACATCTCATTTCATCCTTATAACTACCCTGTGTTAGCATCCCTTCTTTACAAATGGAGACAGGAACCTTAGGGAGGTTAAGGAACTTTCCCAAGTACCCTTAACTAGCATATGGCAAAGTGAAGATTCTGATTGTGATCATGGTTATAGGACCACAGAAAGTGAACCACTAACTATTATGCTGTACTACATCCAAAGCAGAATACCTATTATCTTTTCTCTATAAAAGCAGCTTGTTTTCCCTTTAATACCCATTGGCCATTTCCCTTCATCTTTCCCTTTTAATACCCATTGGCCAAGAATTACCCAAAAAACTTCTTAAAATGAGAATTAAATCCATTATTCTTTACCCACTTGCATTCATGAAACTAATGAACCAAAAAGGAAAAAATGCATCTGGTATACACAATTTCTCTTACTCCCAAAGTGCTAAAATATCAATGTGACCAAGAAACAAAGGATTAAATGTTAGGAAAAAACAAAACAACAAAAGCTACAATTCAAATTAGAATCCATCTTACATGTACAAAAGGTAGCGATATGGTTCTTTTCCTCACTGGCTGCTTGAAGCTTGGCCACCATCAAAAAGGAAACAATAACTTTCAGGACCCCGAAGTTCATGACCAACCTACTACTTCAGCAGAAACAAATGGTCACTGATGTTCTTCACCCCAGAAAGGCAACAGTAGCTAAGACAGAAATTCACAAAACAGCTAGCCAAAATGTATAAGACCACACCAGATGTCATCTTTGTATTTGAATTTAGAACCCATCTTGGTGGTGGCAAGACAAGTGGCTTCGGTATGATTTATGATTCCTTGGATTATGCAAAGAAAAATGAACCCAAACAGACTTGCAAGACATGGCGTATATGAGAAGAAAAAAAACCTCAAGAAAACAGCAAAAGGAACACAAGAACAGAATGAAGAAAGTCAGGGGGACAGCAAAAGCCAATGTTGGTGCTGGCAAAAAGGAGTAGATTCTGCAGTGACTTATCTGTGAAGACTGTACAGATTTTTCATGAGAGGATTAATAAACTAAGAACTTAAAAACAAAACAAAAAGCCCCCACAAAAGGTAGTAATATGAAAAACACAACCTGAGGTATTATTTCAGAAGTTAAATTGCTCAATTTTTTTTAAAGATTTTATTTATTTATTTGACAGAGATCACAAGTAGGCAGAGAGGCAGGCAGAGAGAGAGGGGGAAGCAGGCTCTCTGCTGAGCAGAGAGCCCGATGTGGGGCTCTATCCCAAGATCCTTGAGATCATGACCTGAGCGGAAGGCAGAGGTTTTAACCCACTGAGCCCTAAATTGCTCATGTTAAACGAACTCTGTTGAACAGTTTTTTCCTGAGGTAACTGCCGGGTCACATCCAGCCATGAATATGGAATGGAGTTCATTGGGCAAACAAGTGGTTACAAAAAATGTAACCACTTGGTTCTCCAAACAAAATACAATACCCATGTCAGAAAGATCCCATCAAAAACATGGAAGGCATAGGACACCTGGCTGGCTCAGCTGGGAAAGCATGTAACTTTTGATCTTGGGGTTGTAGGTTTGAGCCCCACACTGGGTGTAGAGACTACTTAAAAACAAAATCTTAAAATAAGAAAGCCATGGAATATCTAAGACTAAACTTAAGGAATGTGCAAACCTAAGTAGAAATCGCAAAATTATCGTAAAGGATATAGGTTAATAAATGGAGTAATTCTTTATTTTTAGACAGAAAAATTCAATAGTGTAATGAACACAATTTTCCCTAAATTAGTCTGAAAGTGAATGCAGTACCAATCAAAAGCCATTATTTTTATTAAACTGAAAAAAACAGGGACGCCTGGGTGGCTCAGTCATTTAAGTGGCTCGGGTTATGATCCAAGGCTCCTGGGACGGAGTCCTGCATGGGGCTCCTTGCCAGCGGGGAGCCTGCTTCTCCCTCTGCCTCTGCCTGCCACTCTTCCTGCTTGTGCTCGCTCTCTCTGACAAATAAATAAATTTAAAAAAACAAATCTTGGGACCAAAATGTGCAAAATTCCTAGGAATTTTTGAAAAGAATTAAAGAGATGTGAAAAAGGAGGGCAAGAGAGGAGAAGGAAGGCTCAGTCCCACCAAATTATAAAACAAACTTGGTGTAATGAAAGCAGCTTAGCGCTAGCATAGAAATAGAAAAACCAAGTCCAGAAAGAGATCCCAAAACAGGGAGCAATTCATAACCACGAGGAAAAGATGAATTACTCAATAAATAGTATTAGAACTATTAACTAAATATTTTATTTACAGTTGGAATTCATTTTGATGTGAAGAATGCAGTAGGGATCCATCTTTACTTTTTGCCAAATGGCAAAATGTAAAAATAACACATTAATAGTCTAGAAAAAAACAGGGTTCAACATTTTTATAACCTTGAAATGGCAACAAGCTTTAATTTTAAAATTAATTTTTTAAGAAGATTTTACTTATTTATTTGACAGAGATCACAAGTAGGCAGAGAGGCAGGCAGAGAGAGGGAGGGAAGCAGGCTCCCCGCTGACAAGAGAGCTGGATGTGGGGCTTGATTCTAGGACTCTGGGATCATGACCAGAGCCGGAGGCAGAGGCTTTAACCCACTGAGCCATCCAGGAACGCTAAAATTAAATTTTTAACTTTTTAAATTTTATTACTCATTACATATATGTGCAGGATTTTAATGTTTGTGGAGTCAAACTGGTTTACTGCTTTTGAGTTTCCTATCATGCTTTAACATGTATTATCAATGTGAGATTATAAAATGGTCTCTCTTGTTTAACAGCTTTACCGAGTTGTGATTCGCGCACACACGCACACACACACACACACACACACACAAATCACTCCTAAAGTGTACAGTTTTTTGTTTGTATATTCAGAGCTGTGCAACCATTACTACCACCTAATTCAAGAACAAGTGCATTACTCCACTAAGAAAATGTGAACCTGTTACCAGGCCCTCCTCACGGCTCCCTCTCTCCAGCCCCTGGCAACTATTAACCTTCTTTCTCTATCTCTGTATTTGCCTACTCTGGACATTTTTTTTTTTTTTTTAAGATTTATTTATTTATTTATTTGACAGAGAGAGAGAGATCACAAGTAAGCAGAGAGGAAGGCAGAGAGAGAGGAAGAAGCAGGCTCCCCGCTGAGCAGAGAGACTGATTCGGGGCTCGATCCCAGGACCCTGGGATCATGACCCAAGCCAAAGGCAGAGAGGCTTTAACCCACTGAGCCACCCAGGTGCCCCGACATTTCAAATCAATAGAATCATATAGTCTATGTCCTTTTGTGCCCGGCTTTCTTCACTTAGCATGTTTGCAAGTTCATCCACACTGTGTACAAGTTTGTGTACACACAGTTTGTGTGTCTGTATTTGTTTCTAATTACATTTTTAATCCATTTGGAATATACTGACATAAGAATCTATTTCTTTTCCTTCCGAAACCAATTTTATGCAGTATTTAATACAATTATGAAGTAAGTAAATTGTAGTAAGTACAACTGGCTCATGATAAATCCACTGCAATCCACTGCAGTGAGCATAATGCGCAGTTACACTGGAGGAGAGCCAGCATGCACCATACCGTGGAACTTAATATTAGTTAATGCTATACAAGTCAGTTAAAGGAGCATCTACTGTACTGATTGTCCCACACTGATTCTTATTCTAATTGCTTTATTAATCCTGATTAATGAGGCTCCTTTATTTGTTGAAGTTGTCCTTTTCATTGTGCTGGCTTTCCTCAGATGTTTGGTGATCAACTGTGGGCTTATCTGCACTTGGGTAATTTGCTGATGCGGGGAGGGCTGTGATGGGCAGTAGCTATTGCTCTGCCTTGAACTCTTTCCAGTGGGCATGAAAATACTAAGCAAACCCCTAAAATGGTTCTTCAGGTTCTTTTTTCCTTCAATCTATTAAGATAATTACTTTACAGATCACTAAGTATACATTCTGTAAAAATTCCTATTTCCTGATGTCATGTTCTAGTTGTACTGTGTGCCATAGTCAATTTATCAGTTGCTTTTGTAAGTGCTGTATCTCTAAAAGTTAACTGGTATCTGTGTAAATGCTCACTTTTTCAGGCTTACATATATCATGGTTCTGCTAACTTTACAGTAGGGAAATTTGTCTTTCCCTATTCTAGGACAGTATAAACATCAGAAATAGTTTTGTTTTTTTTAAAGATGTACTAGGGCTCTGTACTTTGTGTCTTTTTGTAGAGTAAAACTTTTTATACAGACTTAATGATTAGGAAAACAAAGTGTTCAGAATTATTTAAACTACCAACAAGTAATGCTCCTACCTCCCCCGAAAAAGGCCTTTGAGGGGGATGCCTGCGTAGCTCGGTTGGGCATCTGACTCTTGGTTTCGCTCGAGTCATGGGATCAAGCCCCACGATGGGCTCCACATTCAGTGGGGAGTCTGGTTCCCCTCTCCCTCTCTGCCCATGTGTGCATGTGTGCTCTCTAAAGTAAATAAATAAGTCCTTTTAAAAGTAAAAAACAATGACCTATCTTTCCAGATACAACCTATACAAATGCACGTGCACAAATATACATGTATTTATCCTATATGTATGCATCTCTCTCTTAACAAAATGGTATCATCCAGTTTTGCAACTTGCTTTTTTTCTCTTTATATAGACAGCTTTCAGTTTCAAAATAAAGATTGAATGTTTTCCTTAACAGCTTCATAGTATACTATTATGTTTTTTTACTACCAGGACAATACTATAATACCCCTGTACAAATATATTCATATCTTGGATAAATTCCAAGAAGGGGAATGGGTCAAAGAGTGATACTGCCACACTATCTTCCAAAAATATTTACATCAGCTTACTCACAGGGTAGATTTTGACAAGAAGACTTCTTAAAGTACGATGTAAAAACTTGAACCCATAAAGACAGGTAAGTTTCACAATGAAGAATTGATAATTTCCTTTAAGCAAAATTACCACACACTAGATCAGGGTACTTTTACCTTTGGAAAGGAAAAACGTAAACTCTTGTCACATTTATTTCATTTTATAAGATTTTATTTATTCATCTGACAGAGAGAGCACAAGCAGGGTGAATGGCAGGCAGAGGGAGAAGCAGACTCCCCGCTGAGGAGGCAGGCAGATGCAGGGCTCAATCCCAGGACCCTGGAACCATGACCTGAGCCAAAAGCAGGTGCCTAACCAACTGAGCCACCCAGGTGCCCCGCTTATGACATTTATAGCTAAAACTTAACATTTTAGAATGATGCTAAGGTCTAGGAAGGTAGGAACCAATGTTTCCCGCTCCCTGCCACATTCTTAGAACTAACACAGTGCCTGCCATATAGGAAATTCTCATATACCAAAATAAATAAAATAGAAATAACCCAATCCAACAGAAAAATAGGCAAAGGAAAATATATACAAACAAAAAATGGCCAAGTAACACAGAAAAAGATGTTCAAACTTCAAACTTAAAAATGCAAATCAAAACAAAAACAAAAAACAACACAAACAAAACACAAATCAAAACAACTCCTGGGGCACCTGGGTGGCTTAGCTGGTTAAGCATCTGACTTCATTTTGGCTTGGGTCATGATCTCAGTGTTGGGGGACTGATGCCTACATCAGGCTCCATACTCAGTGAGGAGTCTGCTTGGCATGCTTGCTCTCCCTCAGCCCCACTCCCACCATGCATGCACACACATGCCTCTCTCAAATAAATTAATAAAATCTTAAAAATAACCCAAAACTCTCATGAGCTAGAGGGTTAGTAAAGTTTAATAAGTGTAAATAAACTCATTCAACTTTCTGGAGGGTAATTTCACAATTCTCTTAAAAGTGTGTTCTTTTACCATCAATTCCACTACTACAGATTTAACTTACAGAAAAACTTATTTAAATATACAGATAAAATTTCATTGCACCATCATTTATAGAAGTAAACAACTGGAAGCAACACAAACGTCTATCAACGAAGACTTAAATTAGGGAACATTTAGGTCATACAGCAATATAGAAGGCTTCAAAGAGAACCGTCTAAGTGCTTTAAGGGGAATCTATGGGTGGAAGGAAAAAACAGGACTCTCCTGGAAAAGATAATGGACAGTAATTGTGGGCTGGAGGTTGGGGGAGAATAAAGAAGAGTGCATACCAGAAAGGCAGTTGGACAGCTGCTCATCATCCACTGGAGAGGCTTTCTGACTGTTCTTCCCACTTCCTGCTTGATTTTCTAGTTTGAGTCCACTGCATGTCAGGGGAGCCTCCAGTGGACTTTTACAGTAAGGGTGGTCCAGCAACTTAGAACTAAGAATGTTCTGCTTGAGAGATCCATCCTCATCCATTTGGCATGAGCTCTCATTCTGAACAGGCTTTTCAGACACAGGCCCATCTACACTACTCACAGATTGATCTGCCCCACACACTGACAGTTTTACTCTGTCATCACTGACAGTACTTGTCCGATTTTCCTGACCCAGAGTCATGACTTCTCTTTCGGTTTCCGAGATCAACACGTTACTAGATTGATGTTCTGGTAAGGGAAGGTCATGAATCAGCTCTGTACACTCCCACTTAGGAGAGGAACAGGGTGACTGGTCCCAGGTATATGTGGCAGTGCCATTCTGTTGGTCAGGGAATGCTTCATCTAAACTAAGCTCCTTGCCCAAGAAAGGGCTTCCTTTAGTGTGGCCATCAGGCACATGAGAGTTCTTTCCCTTCACCGCAGCATTGCTGTCCATATCTGGAAAGTATGGCTGATGCCGACAAGAAGGGTCTTTAGGTTCTGGGGAAGGGAATGGGCTGCAACTGCCACCCTCACCGTTCTCCCTAAGGGTCTCTTGATGGTCCCCAGTGACCTGCACCCAGCTTCGCTGGGCTTTTTTTAGTTTGCAAACTTTGCTTTTTGTTCTGAAGTGCTGGGATCTGAGAATCCTGTACCGAAATCTAATCATGGATAATTTCTCATACATCATAAAAGGAGATACTTTTATTCTTCTATGTTGGTTAAGTTGAAACTTTTTTGGAATCAGGGGTCCCCCATTCCTATGGTGCTCCAAACCTTGGCAGCAGCCATAACAAAAGCGCTTTCTCTTATGGTTGCTCAAGGTGACCACAATTGTGCCACTCTCACCTGGACTTTGGCTCTCCCCATTGAACTTCATAGGAAAGTCAGAAGCTTGTGGCTCCGTCCTAGGTCTGTGACCATTGGCCTGACCTAAAACATTATTTCCTGGTAAGTCAGCAACTGCCTTCAAGACACTTTTCTCTCCACAGTATTCATGGTCAGAGTTCTTTGCTGAGGACAGCAGCCTCTCTGCTTGGAGTCTTAAAAGGGTCCTTGAGGAGGAAATGAAGTGTTTAGAGTCTTTTCTTTTCACTCTAGAGGACAAAGTACTAACATTTTGAGCAGCCACACTGGACTTTGTCTTAGCAAAAAAAGGTGCATCCTGGATCCACGTTTTCTGGATTTGAAGGGCCTTCTTTCTACAATGGAAATGCCTCAACTGCCTGCTCCAAGTACTTGGCCTTCCCAATTTGGCTTTCAGAACGCATAAGTGTTGGTGAAAGCAGAACTTCTTAAAACCTCCAAACCCTGTATTCCATCTCTCAGAAAAGGCTAAATGAATTCCTTTCCTCCATAGAATTTTCTTCTGTTTTTTCATTTTTCTGATGCATAATGAGATCTTGATGAAGCTGAGAGAAAGAAGAGAAAGAAAAGTGACTTCTACCCTAAAAATAACGTCATAAAGATATAATCACAGCAATATAAGCTACAAAATTCAAAGAAAAAGAAGAACATATAAAATTCAATTTAGACTATCAGACCCAGGGGCACCTGGGTGGCTTAGCAGGTTAAGTGATGGCATACCTTCAGCTGGGGTTATGATCCCTGGGATCGAACCCCCATTGGGTTCCATGCTCAGTGGAAAGTCCGCTTCTCCCACCCCCCTGCTCACTCGTTCTCTCAAATAAAATAAAAAATAACAAACTATCAGACACAATGAAATCGTTACCTGATCAAGGTTTTCCCCAGAGTGAAAGCTGGAACACATAAATACTCTCACATGACCCCATTTAGTATAGCTGCCTCTGACAGAAGTAAATTTCAAGAATCATTTCCATCAGTTTTTGATGGAGTGGACAGGGTAGGGAAGCAGAAGAGAATCCTTAAGCATTGGCACTGCTTCTCATTAGCTAAGTGACGTTAAGTCACTCAAATTCTGTGTTCTCACTTGTAAATTAAGGGATAGGGAAGGAAGGAGGGAACACACACCATTTAAGACTGATTCCAGGGGCACCTGGGTGGTTCAGTGGGTTAAGCCTCTGTCTTCAGCTCAGGTCATGATCCCAGGGTCCTGGGATCGAGCCCTGCATCGGACTCTCTGCTCCACGGGGACCCTGCTTCCTCCTCCTCTCTCTGCCTGCCTCTCTGCCTACTTGTGACTTCTGTCTGTCAAATAAATAAATAAATAACTCTGATTCCATATTGAAATACTTTGTTCCATATATCACATTTTAGAAAGAGCAGGTACTTTGGGCTGTAAATAGACATGCAAAAGCATATATTAAATAAATGCAAGCAGTAACAGTATTTTAAGAGGGAGACCAGCCTCCTCTTCGTCAGTCAGTCAGAAACTTTGAGTGACCATGCAGGGACAAAAGTCTATCAGGTGCTTTCACACAGTTAGGGTTTGGGTTCTTAAGTAAAAAGCACATGTGCATACGTGCACACACACACACGCACGCACGCACAAGCTCTGGTAACACATTTATTAGGAACGGTAGGTAAAAATGATAGTCAAAACCAAACAGGATTTCCCCTCAGATTTAATAAGATCCTCTACTAATGAAGGCTCTTCAGCGTAGAAGGAAAGGTGAGAGCCGCTAAAGATGGGACAGAAACAATACGAGACTATGAATCAAAAAAACAAGTACTCTAATTTCAGCTTGCTAATAACTTAAAGATTTTATGTATTTGTCAGAGAGAGGGAGGGAGGAAGACAGCAAGCACATGAGCAGGAGGAGCAACAGGCAGAGGGGAAAGCAGGCTTCCCGCCAAGCAAGGAGCCTGATGCGGCACTCAATCTCAGGACCCTGGGATCATAACCTGAGCCGATGGTAGATGCTTAACTGACTGAGCTGAGGGAAGGTGAGTTATTGTTTAATGGGTACAGAGTTTCAGTTTAAGAAGATGAAAAAGGTTCTGAAGATGGACTGTGGCCATGGTTGCACAACAATGTGAATGTATTAATGCCACTGAACTGAACTTTATACCTAAAAGTGATTAAAATGGTAAATGTTATGCTACCTATATTTTATCACACTAAAAAAACAAGAAGGAAGAAAAAAACCAATACTGTCTACAAAGAAAAAAAGAATAGGGGTGCCTCGGTGGCTTAGTCAGTTGGGCGTCTGCCTTCAGCTCTGCTCATGATCCCAGAGTCCTAGGATCAAGCCCCTAATCAGGCTCCCTGCTCAGTGGGTAGTCTGCTTCTCCCTCTGCCAATCACCCCACCTGTGCTTTCTCTCTCTCACTCTCTTTATTGCAAATTAAAAAAATGTTTAAAGAAAAAAAGAAAGAAAAAAAAATCCAGTGAAGGGAAAGAAAAGAATAGGTTATTATATTTTTTAAGAAACAATCACAAACAATAAGGGGACCTTGGAAATGTAAAATAGCAGAATTGAAAAACTCAACAGAGAATAAAGGGCGGGGGCGCCTGGGTGGCTCAGTTGATTAAGCATCCTTTTCAGCTCAGGTCATGCTCTCAGAATCATGGAATCAAGCCCTGTGTCAGGGTTTGTCCCTCTTCATCTGCTCCTCACCCAGCTCTCTTTCTCTCTCTCTCTCTCAAACAAATTTCTTTTTAAGGTGGGGAAGGGTGCCCGGGGGGACTGCCAGTCGGGCAACCAACTTGATTTCGGTTCAGATCGTGATCTCAGAGAGGTGAGACTGAGCCCCACATAGGGCTCCGTGCTCAGTGGGGAGTCTGCTTGAGGTTCTTTCCCCCGCCGCAATCTCTGCCCCTGACCATCCCCCTGCACGTGCTCATTCTCAAATAAATAAATAAATAAATAAATCTTAAAAGAAAACATAACCAAAAAAGCCTGATGGAAAAATGGGAAAAAGACATACGGAGACAATTCACAAATAAAGATTTTTAAACAGCCCTTAGACATAAGATGTTCAACTTCACTAAAAAAAAATGGGCAAAGAGGTGGTTGGGGAGTTGCCCAAAATGGGTGGAGGGACAGTCAAAAAGGTACAAACTTCCAGTTATAAAGTAAGTCAGTCATGGAGATGTAATATACAACAGAGTGACTATAATTAATAATGCTGTACAGTATACTTGAAAGTTGCTGAGAGAGTAAATCTTAAAAATCCCCATCACAAGAAAAAAAACTTGATTACCATATATGGTGGTAGAGCTTACTAGACTTACTATGGTGATCATTTTGCAATGTATACAAATAGCAAGTCTTGTTTTACAACTGAAACGGATATAATGCTAGATGTTAACTATACCTCAATAAAAACACTGGCAAAAATTATGACAACACATTCTGTTGGTGGGAGAAAAGAAACTTTCATATTTTGCTGGTAGGAATACAAACTAATAAAACCCTTTTGGAAGGGAATTTGGTAATCTAACAAAAGGTAAGTATTTACCTTTTAATCCAACAACCCCATTTTTAGTCATTTATCCTTAAGATACACCTCCAATACTAATGAAAATACATAACACAAGGTTATTCACTGCAACACTATAATTGCAAAATACTGAAAACCTACAAGGACAGTACTTGAATAAAGTATGGTTCTTCTACACTACTTCTTCTTGAGTAAGTTATACTTCTACATGAGTAAGTTATGAAAGAATAGAGATGGGGCATCTGGCTAGCTCAGTTGGTAGAGCATGCAACTCTTAATCTTGGGGTTGTGAGTTCAAGCCTCATGTTGGGTGTAAAGATTACTTTAAAATATATTAGAAAAGAATAGGGGCACCTGGGTGGCTCAGGTGGTTAAATATCTGCCTTCCAGTTGGGTCATGATCAACCAGGGTTCGAGCCCTGCATGGGATCAAGCCCCTGCTTCTCCCTCTCCGCTCTGCTTGTGCTCTCTATCTCTGTCACAATGTCTCTCTCTTAAATATAAATAAAATCTTTTAAAAAATTAAAAAAGAAAAGAATAAAGAGGAACTCTATGAACTAATATGGAATGATTTCCAGGTTAGGTGAGAAAAGTAAAGTTCAAATCAGTATTGACAGTGCGTCACCAAGATGGTGGCACACAGACACCAACTACAAGCTCAGGGAGTTCACAAAACCACCCTCAGGTCTGATAATTTGCCAGAAGGACTCATAGAACCCACTGAAAACTATTACATTCATAGTTATGGCTTATGAAAGCTGAAGAATATGGATTAAAATCGGCCAAGTGGAGAAGCACATAGGGCAGAGTCAAGAGAAGTAACAAGTGTGGAGCTTCCAGTTGTCCTCTTACCATGGAGTAGAACAGCTTTAACCTCCTGACATCAGTGTGTGACAATATTGCCAGCCAGGAAGGCTCACCTGAGCCTTGATATCCAGAGTTTTTATTCGGGGATTTTAAGCAGAAGTGATTGCCCACATGATGGATCTCAGTTTTTCAGCCCCTCTGGAGATCCGCTGATGCCAAAGTCATTACTCTAAATCATTCCACTGGTCTTTCTGTCATAGCCAACCCCCATCCTAAATCAAGCTGTCTGTTAGACTGTTGGTATCTAAGCCCCCAGGCAAATACAGATATTCGAATCAGGTATGACAGTCCAAAGCTTTCGAGATGATTTCCCAGAAGCGAAGGATAAAGGATTTCTTTTGAGGCAAGGTTAAATTGTTTACCAAACAGCCACCTTTCATCAAAGAAAAAATAAGAGAATAAACATGTATCTGCCCTTTTGTGCTCCACCCCCACCTTCCGCCAAAATAGACAAAAAATAAAAATACAAACATGAGGAGAATAAACCAGAAAGTAATGAGAACGTATAGGGCAAGGGAGATTCATATCTCCCTTGAGATGTTCCCAAATGAACAGGAAAATGGTAGAGGGACGAGAAAGGAGTGGCACTTCTCTAAATATGCCTGTTTGAAAAGTTCTCACTTTTACAACCATGTTGATGCTTCGTATACTTAAACACACAAATAAAATTAAGATCAAGTAGAATGCAAAAGGAATCCAAAATGAAATACAAATAACAAATGAATCTAACTGTATGACAGATAACTGCATTGAAAAAAGCAGACATAGGAAAAATTACCCACATTTTAGAAAATATTTTGACTGTATAGGACTAGATTCCAAAGGACTGTATATAAATACTGTCCTTTAGGGGTGCCTGGGTGGCTCAGTTAAGCATCTGCCTTCAGCGAGAGTCATGATCCCAGGATCCTGGGATCTAGACCCACACTGGGTTCCCAGCTCAGCGGGAGCCTGCTTCTCCCTCTCCCACTCCCTCTGCTTGTGCTCTGTCAAATATATAAAACCTTTAAAAAATAAAAAAAGAGTAACTAGAATACAAAGAGAACTACCCCTACAACACTGTTAAAAGATAGGAGAGTTGCTGGGACTCTCCCAGAGTTGAAGGGACTAGCAAGTGCCAGTTTACAATCCCCTATCCACCCTGATGGCATGGATGGGGTCAGGGTCTGGGTGCTCT